CATTGTTGGCATGCGAGCGTATTTACTAGGTACCTTTCAGAGGTCTGAACATGAGCATTTTACAGATGTAAAGGATGACTTCTGTATCGTTAGGTCAAACATGAATTGGTTTCAAGCTATGGTGTAAGCAAGTTTAGTAGGGACTGTTGTGACTGTGGCTTCTTGGAAAATATTCAGAGCATTAGGACATTCCTGTCTGACGTCTTTGATTCTGTTGGCAAGTTTTGCATGAAAAAAAATATGGGTTGATCCATTCTTGCTATTCCTTTTTCTCCTAATTTATGTGTTTCTCGTGCACTGTGACCCGGGTATGTTTTTACAGGTCTGTTTGTTGGGGGGTCAGGTGTCAAATTGGCTAACATGCAGAAATACATGTGTATTTATATACACGCAGGCTTGTTGTTGTTGCCGGAAACAGCTGTCTCGGTAAATTGATTGATTGCTGCTGACCAGTATTTTGTTTGTGAATATTTGACTTGTTCTCTAAAATGAAAAGTCACCAAAACGTCTCGTGTAGCTAGATGAGGTAAATCTGTATTTCAGATTTGAGTTTCTAATTTGAGTGGTTCACCCTGTGTGTTTTTCCTTCAAACCCAAATTTTATACAAGCCAGTGATTTAAGTACAATACTGTCAGTCTTATTCCAGCAAAACTGTACAGTACTTTCAGCACTGGAGCTTAAAAATAGAGATCATTCATGGTGCTCTCAGTGAAAATCATTTTTGACACCAAAATTCAGTATCGATAGACACTGTACATGTATCACACACTGTACACCCCCTAGGGACCATTGAAATCCTGCATAACCTTGCTGGCTTCAGCATGGTTAGGGTGAACCCTAACCCCCTAGGGACCATTGAAATCCTGCATAACCTTGTTGGCTTCAGCACGGTTAGGGTGAACCCTAACCCCCTAGGGACCATTGAAATCCCGCATAACCTTGTTGGCTTCAGCACGGTTAGGGTGAACCCTAACCCCCTAGGGACCATTGAAATCCTGCATAACCTTGTTGGGTTCAGCACGGCCTAGCCCCCTAGGGACCATTGAAATCCTGCATAACCTTGTTAGGTTCAGCATGGCTAGGGTAAACCCTAACCCCCTAGGGACCATTGAAATCCTGCATAACCTTGTTGGGTTCAGCATGGCTAACCCCCTAGGGACCATTGAAATCCTGCATAACCTTGTTGGCTTCAGCATGGTTAACCCCCTAGGGACNTCGTAGGCATGCGAGCGTATTTACTAGGTACCTTTCAGGGGTCTGAACATGAGCATTTTACGGCTGTAAAGGATGACTACCATATCATTAGGTCATACATGAATTGGTTTCAAGCTATGGTGTAAGCAAGTTTAGTAGAGACTGTTGTGACTGTGGCTTCTTGGCGAACATTCAGAGCATTAGGACATTCCTGTCTAACGTCTTTGATTCTGTTGGCAAGTTTTGCATGAAAAAAAATATGGGTTGATCCATTCTTTTTCCTTTTTCTCCTGATTTATGTGTTTCTTGTGCACTGTGACTTGGGTATGTTTTTACAGGTCTGTTTGTTGGGGGGGGTCAGGTGTCAAATTGGCTAACATGCAGAAATACATATATATATACACAAGCTTGTTGCATCCTGTTTTAAGGCCGGAAACAGCTGTCTCGGTAAATTGATTGATTTTATTTGATATCCATATTGCCGCTGACCAGTATTTTGTTTGTGAATATTTGACTTGCTCTCTAAAATGAAAAGTCACCAAAACGTCTCATGTAGCTAGATGAGGTAAATCTGTATTTCAGATTTGAGTTCCTAATTTGAGTGGTTCACCCTGTGTGTTTTTCCTTCAAACCCAAATTTTATACAAGCCAATGATTTAAGTACAATACTGTCAGTCTTATACCAGCAAAACTGTACAGTACTTTCAGCACTGGAGCTTAAAAATAGAGATCATTCATGGTGCTCTCAGTGAAAATCATTTTTGACACCAAAATTCAGTATCGATAGACACTGTACATGTATCACACACTGTACACCCCCTAGGGACCATTGAAATCCTGCATAACCTTGTTGGCTTCAGCATGGTATGGTTAGGGTTAAGGATCCCTTGGCTTAGCTGCCAGGAAATCTGAAAGAAAGTAATTGCTTGCAACACCCCAATAAAAGGAGTGGCCCAAAAGTGTTTTTAATGACACAGGAATGTAACCACTGGCAATTTTGATAACCCACAGTGGCTTTACTAGAAAAATGGCCACCATGTTGTTTGTGCCACAGCATCACAGCTCATCTATTCCATTTTTTCCTCCAGCCAGGGAATTTATAATCAGTTTCTGTACTAAACCCTTCACTCCTCTGGTCCTTTTCCTGGAAGGTTTTCCAATTCCTCAGGTTTCACTACTTTTCATTAGACTGATAGTGCCCCTTTCTGTCTCCTCAAACAACCTTTGGGTATCAGAATCCAGCCCCTCACGAGTCCTTCCTCGAGGCTCTTCTTGAGTCTAGTCACAGATCCTTTCCAAAGACTGGTTGTAAGTGACAGGGTAAAGAGGACAGGGGTACGTTTTTGTCACAGTTTATTTGAATAGCTTGCAACCCAGCTCAAGTACCGAACCAGTTGAGGTGGACTTCCAGGGACTGGTGATGGACTGGTCTACAATATTGGTGGTGGGCATTGTTATTAGTGGATCCAGAGTCCATGGAAGTCTATCCCACGTCATGCAACCTTTTCAAATGAACTTTGATAAAAACATTCCTTTGTATTGCTCACCGTGTTACCTGTGACAGTTTCAATGGAAGGACCTGTGATGGACATAAGTGCAAAGTGGCAAGTGGGTTGTGCCGTCTTGAAGCCTTCAAAATATCGGAGTGGATAGCTAGTACATATATTTATAACTTAAAGGACCCTGAACTGTATTTTCAACCCTTCATATGTTCAATCTCTTCTCCATTTTTCCCCTTTCTTTTTGGTGCGATTGGACAGAACAACTCCATGTTTTCAAAGTTGCTGCTGCCAGTTGTTCTCGGCATTGTCGCGGCAGTTCTCATCATTTGCTTTGCTTACAGCATCCGTGCCTGTAAGAAGAAGGACAGGGTTAGAGGCCACATGAAGCTGATGAATAATGGAAAGGTGAATCGTCAGAAGTAGTTTACTGAGATCCAAACACTTGTACATGTATTCTTTGATCAGTTTTAGTTACCATATCTTATGCATATTCAAGATTGAGAGCCCCATTCTCACTGGTCCATTGATCACCACTTGCCAGTTGTTATTTTTGCTGTTTACCTGATGCACATGAAAGGATCCATGCCCAAGTCAAATGTGGCTCAGTAACTTTTTCCCAGGATTCATTGAACAGTCACATGGTTTATGTATACAAGTGTGAGCATAGCCGTAGCTACGCTGTTTGCACACTACACATGACCAGATGGGGAGCATATGTACATACTGCCTTTGACTTGCTCCTGAAATTTGAATAGCTACTGAATATGTATGAGATACGGTAATACACATGTTACCTGGGACTTTAACAGCTTGATCTCGCGAACTAGTTTGCCAATTTCCAATACCTTGGAGAGCTGAAATTGACTACCCATTCTCAAACCATTGACTTGGAAACTGAGGGTCGGGGTTGAAGGTTTTCACAGACTGCGAGCCAGTAGCTTGGGCATATCAATTGTCAAGAAAATATGATCAGCCTGTGCTGATGCATGTCCAGAGTGCACGCCTGTTTGCCCTCGTGGGAATTCTAATGCCACATTCACAGGAGTGGTGTGGCTTAATACAAGATGAATTAGATGTTGCTTTGGAGGCATGACATGTCTGTGTGTGGGCGGTGAGCCTAACATGCCGTTGGCTGGACTTCCAGTATGACCTTTGTTGCTGCCCAAACTGGCACTTTGCCAGAAGATGGGGAACATGTTTCAAGTTCTTCCTCTGTGAGCTGTCATGTCTCCTTCAGCATTTATTTTTCTGTGAAGAAGAGCCTTCCTGAATCTACCAAAATCTGTCACTATGAAAGGAACCTGTTGCTTCCTCTCCAGAGTACTTCTTTGGAGGGAAGTTGCACCCCATCAAGGGGCTGGGCTCTCGTTCTACTTTCCTCAATCCTGCAAACTCTCCAAGACATTCAGTTGGAGTTGGAAAGCATAAGGAGCTTGAGGTAAATCATCACTCTTGAAGGAATCGGCCATTTTTCACTTAGTGTATGTTTTTTTTCTTTCTCACTTTCCCTCAGGATCATGAAATGGGAGGCAACTTGGACCGGATGAAGCTTTTGGCGGACAGCTCCGAGGATGAGTTCTAGCAATAGTGTAGCATGATTGCTTAGTACAGGGCTCCATCTATGCAGTGAACTTACAACGATTGCCTTAGGGGGTGGCTGTGATATGTTTTGGATGATTTGTAGCAAACAAGGTATGTTTTGTTGAACATGTGCTGTTGGGTCACACAAGTTGCAGACACGTTGTACTTAATTCACGTATGTTGGTTATGTGTGGGCTCCAAATATTATTGTCCACAGCAATAAAAATTCAATGAAAATGGAAACGGAGTAGCTGTTATTGAAGAATGTTTGAGTGCTATATCTGCAGTGGGCTTAGAATGAGTAGGTTCCTGCAGGTGTGTTTGTGCACCTTGTGTGCTCAGTGCATAGAGGCGTGAGTAAACGAGTTTCTTGCTTGGACCAGTATCTTGTCCTTCCTCTGCTCTCTGAGTCAGTGTGAGTCCATGTGATGCACAGGTCGGAGTAGTATTTTAGACTCGCGTAACCTCACGTTCGAGCAGAATACGCATGTAATGCCCTCAGAAAAGAAGCACGGTGCTGCAAATTTTGCTCGGAAATGTCTGGACCGTCAATAATGAAAAGAGGACCCTGTGCGCTCGCGCTGTTGACATTTGAGGTTCAGCTGATGCAAAAATGGCCAAAGTGGTTGCATGCAATCCCACTGGATTGGAAGGTACCGTGAAAAATAAAAACATCTCGTGTTACATGTCATGTACTTCATAGCCTCACAGATACACCCATATCCCAAACTGTCAGGAGCCCTTGGTTACTCCGTGAAAGGGAAGAAGCTGTACCTGCCGAGAAAATCATTGGTTGTACTTTGATTAAAGCCATTGTGATTCAAAATCATAAAATTGTACACTTGGAGTTTGAGAATAAGGGTTTGGAATTGTCCTCATAAACTGACTGACAATTGTAAGTGTACAAGATTTTTAACTGTGACTGAGAAGGAGAGTTACTCAACAAATCAGCATACTTTATTGCAGTGACAATAACTTGGGTTTTAACCAGAGGTTGTAGGTTTTAGTCTGGTTCCGGTCAGTAGTCTTGCTCTACTGGTGCCAACAATTCAGTGTCAGTAGTTATTATGAAATGGGACTTATTCTGATTACTCATTGTGTAGTTGCTCTGTTCAGTCATAGAGGAAGAAGCTACAGCTCTGAAGTGGATCACTCTAAACATCCTTCATATTGCAAGGACACTTATTTGTATATTTAACTTGATTGATTGAAGCCTGAAATATAAACAGGTATCCATGGAATCATTTTTCGATGTGGTGTTTTCATTGATAAAAGGTTATGTACTTTTGCTATGTTGAAAATTACTTGCTTTGTAATTTTGTATTTCATATTTTTTGTCGTTTTAAGCTATTGTCATGAAGTCACAAAAATGACTTTGGGTGGTTAAATTTTTAAAGAGGAATTCTAAAAATACTGTTTGGAGGAAATAATGTTGCTATGGTTATTATGTTTTCGCTGAAATTGAAGTGATAAACAACTGTCATTTTGATTTCAAAAGAAAGGACTTCGAACTCAGCATGGTACACGTAGTTTTTAATCATGTTGTCTAGCACTTCTGTGAGTTGTTGTAAATCTCCCAGATCTGTTAAAATTCATATATTTTAATTTTGTAATCCCCGGTATGAACACATTTTAAATGTATTTTTTGTCAAAACCAAAAAAGCTGTCAGTTGTAAATATATTACGGTGTCATATGAGTTTAAATTGTCATGTGCACGTCAATATCCTAATGAAACACGCTGGAATATGGCGGTATTCATTATAAAAATACCCAATATCGACCATAGCATACTCCTGGGCTCAATTTCATGGAGTTGCGTAACAGCCGAAAAGGCGTACTTACGACAGCAGAAAAGTTTTGTTAACCTTAACCACTGTTTCCTGGCATTCGTGGTTGTGTTTATGGTTGTCCTCGCATAGAAATTTCCATTGTTTAGTCAAAATGTTAAGACTTTTTCCTCCAAGATAAGTGCGCTTTTTGCCGTGCTTACAGCTCAGGGTCTCCATGAAATACCGTGCACAGAGCCTCAGTGTAAAATCGTGTGCTTAGCGGCACCCTAAAATATAGGCAATTCACAATAGTGTGTCTCCAAGACTTCGCAACGTGTTGGCCAATCACAGCGCGCAAAATCTGTTGACCCTTTCCAAATGCGCACTGGGTCGACAGATGTCGCGCATCGTGATTGGCAAACACACTGCAAGCTCTTGGAGGATCACTATTGTGAATTGCGCGTATTGGGCCCTGGTGACCTTTGACAAATTGAATTTTGGCTGTTGAGCATGGTTAAATGTACATGTACCACTACAAGCACATGACGTCACAGTGTGCTGACTGCCATGCAAATGAGAAATGGACGTGTCTTGGTCTAATTAAGAATCAGGTGTCTTGTGCAATCAGGTATTGGTAGTATACAAAGAATAGCTGTTGCCATGGAGATGATGTCCATAGCAGACATGGCCTATGTAAGCTTTCTTTATCAGTTGCAGACTATGAACAGGTACAAAACCATAAGTCTGGAGTGTGCTATAAATCCGTACACACCTGGTCTTGAAAAATCAATCGATACTAAAAGTATCAATTGAAAGTACAGCAACAAGAATCTTAAAAAAATGGCAGTGAGGGGTTTTTAGATGACAGGAGACAAGATAAATTATTTTTTGCACGTTTTATGATCTTAATTGAACAAGTAGATCTTTCTGAAGTTGGCAAAACAGGGATGACCCTACCAGTAAAGAAGCAGCACATTGTTATCAAAATGATTGTGACGACACATGTGGATAAAAGTAGCTCTTCTATTTCCAGGGGATAGTTCAATCTTACATTGGTTCTGGGGAAAGTATTCACCTTGTACTGGTATGTCTTTATCACATACGATCAGTTTGAATGTATTGTTGTATTCGGAAGTGTACAGTTGATGTAATGATGAAGGGGAAGTGGTTTACTCTTGTCAAGAAGTTTGTTAACATACTTTCTGGTGTTGGTGTCCACCCTCTGGTTTGAGAACATCAAAATAGTTTTCTCTGTTAAGCTCAAGGTCTTCCTTTTATGTGATTTTTTGAAGTTGTACATAAAAACCATGTACATAGTAAATTTAGAAAGTTATCACAGGTTAAGAAGTTACATTGATGTACTTTTTCCTCTTGAGGTACTATGGTACTGTTCATTACATGTCATTTGTTGACTGACTTCGCTACTCACAGAGAAAGTTTATTTTAAGGTATGAACGAACAGATATTCAGTGGTTTTTTGACATTTGACATCACTATCCATTGACTTTGGGCTGTGTCAGAATGACTTGACTGTGGTTGGAGATCACAAAGGTCGATGGGAAATGGACAAAGCCACTAGCTGATGGCTTCCATGGGGGCATGTGTAATTTTTTAGCCATAGCTGTGTGCTTTGGATGCAGCCCTTACACGTTGACTCATTCTGGAGTTGTCCAGATCTCTGCGAGTTTCATGCTGCTTCACGTGAGCAGCCAAGTGTTCAGAGATACTGCACTCCTGCAGCATGCCCCCAAACAAAAACTGACATTGCTCCTGGCTAGTTTGTACACCCAGTTTGTTGTTTTCAAAGTTCAAACAGGAAACAATGAAGAGTTGTCGAGCAACTGTTTTAGCAGTGGAGTTAGACATCAATCAGCTTGTACTCTTAAGATTGTGCTTTTTCCAGCCAGGGAAAGCAGATTGGAGATGTTTTGCTTTATGAGTATTTCCTTGTTTGTAATGGAATGGACCGTGCAGTACATTTTGTAAGACTCTGTTCAAGTGTGCTGACCTTGCCTAATACCAATACATGTACATAAATGTATCAGTGTGATTCATGGCCTCAATACTTAAAATGGGGAAGAGGGAAGGGAGGGGCTTGACAACTCAGGTGGGCGGGATGTTTATAGGTCTGTGCATGTCAGACCTGTTTCCATGACAAGAGTGTTTAAGTCATGCAGAAAAATGTTCCAATTCCGAGTTGTCAATACTCTTGAATTCTTATTCCTAGAGCAACGAGCCAAGACAAAAATTTAACTGAAAAACTTAAGGATTTGAAGTTACGTGTACCATTTCATGAGTGAGCTTTGTTTTTTTTTTTAGAAAAGCAAGGTCACACACTCAATTTAATTCAATTTCAATTGAATTCTCTGGTGCAACACATAAAGATATATAAATGGTTGGGTGGCTCAGTTGCTTTTCCACGTTCCTATTTTTAATGTTGGTTTCAGTTTTTTCCTGTATCAGTCCGCATAAATACATACATACATGTTAATCAGATTTACCTAATTTATTATTTTATGATTGTCAGCGGATCATTGTGCAATCGTTTAGGCAGTAACAACCTTGTTGGTGACGTTTCAAACATTCCCTCCATGTAGAAGAATACATGTACTTTTATTTCATACACAGATTGCATTGTATATTAAAGATCCTGACATTTTTATCGAGTCTTTAGGCACAATAAGACTTACATGTACATGTATATTATTTTAATTTGCTAGTGCTAGAGTTCAGACCTGTTCTGAGTCATCGAGTACAAAACCAAGATGTGATTGTTATGCAGTGGGAATCAAGCTTGAGAACTGAGACAGGGGTGACTGAGTATTCTAAATGAGTAGGACTTTGGGTATTGGGACTCACACCTGACACAGGTATGCAAGACATGACCCTAAAGGTTCACAATGCAGCTCCAAATTACATAATCTTGCAAGTCTGAGTTTCAGAGATTGTCTGGTTTGGCAAGGGTCATTCCTTCTGACAGGTACAACCATTTGTTTAAATGAACTTGATGACTTTGGAAAGGGGCTTATAGCAACACTGAAATTTAAAATGCTTTTGTATTTAAAATTCTGTTTTCATAGTACTATTAGTAACAACCTTGAATGTTTTATTGCTAAAAATTTATGCATGAAAATATTGACCCTGTCCCATTTTTTCTGCATTCACATTCTCGTATTAAAACAGCAAGGCGGTATATGAACTTCTGCCATTCACACACGTGATTGCACACTCTCATGTGATAATTGTGACCTCGTGCCCCTAAAACCAGGCTTAGTTAACAATTATTAGTAAGAAGTAATTCTTCTTGTCTGCAGAAAACTTTGGAAGTTATGGGCAAGGAAAATAGTGGAATACACATACAGTACTTCACGGTTAGTTGGTATCTGTCTCCAGAAAATAGCTTGTGTTTCTTCAGCGTGGTTTTGCGATGGAACTCACAATTATTTTCGGAATCCCAAACATTGTTGGAACACTCCAGATTCCATACAATCTGGTCAAAAGTTTCCCTACCAATTAAAAATGGTCACACTGTGCATTGACTCTTGAAAAGGTTACACTGCACTGCACTCGTGGTTCTTAAGCTTGATGCATCCTTACACTTGACAAATCAATGCACCCTATTGGTCAGAGAGGCATGTATCGCGTGCGTACCACTGGTCCACGAGCGTGGTGCCATCGTAGTAATGGCTTCCATTTCCGGTTGCTGAATTACACTAGCGTTTGTGTTCACATGCGAGTCCTTAGGGGTCGTATGGAATATCCTCAGTTAACAGTTTGAGATCTAGTTTGCCAACAGTTCTGCTTGGAATGTCGCAGAGGAAATCAGGATCAGTTGTAGTTAGTCTGGATCCAAACAGTCTTTCATTGAAGATGTATTACATGATTGGTACACGTATGTGTTACAAGTCTTGTGGCAAGACTTCATTGTAATCCACATGTACATGTACATGTACCCCATGTTTACACAGAAATGAGTTTTGAATGACAAGGAACTGCTTCAAATTTTTTTTTTTTTTGAGTGATCATAAGGATAGGATTACATCCAGAAGAGGAAGGACACATTTGATATGCTTTATATGCCTGAGAAGATATTGTTTTCTGTTTTGGAAGACTATGGGGTTGTACATGCACAGCATAAACTTTTTTGGCCCAATCCTGTTCTGACTTCTCCCCAAGACTTGATCTCAGAACTTAGCCTGGAAGTATTCCATACTGCTGTTTTGGATTGCCAAGAGGTGAATTGTGAAATGTGGAATAGTCCTGCCCTGTAGCTAGATGGACATCAGGACAGACAACTAAACGGTACGTATTCATAACTTCATATTATAACTCAGTAATTGGAACACTTTATTCTGTTCTTTGACTGAATAAAGCTAGGGATGACCTATAATTTGGATGGACAAAATAGGGTCTTGCATTGAAAACTGACCTTTAAATAGAAAGTGGCAAAAAATGGCATTAGTGTTCTTGTCTGCCACTTTCAATAGCAAAAAGCAACAAATTTGATTTAGAACCACCTAGCCATGTTTCAGCCAAGTTGGACAAAGCATTTTTACAGTTATATTCATTAGATAATCCTCCTATGTCGAGATGTGGTCAGCACAAAGTTGGTCGATCAGTCAATGGAAGCTTTGACTGCAACGGTTACATCAGTTCATGAATTTCTTATCACCATTGCACAAAGCTGCTCTTTTGAATTGCACTTGAAAGCGTAAACTTTTTCCCCATCTTACTTCAAAAATTGATCATTTTGCGAAAATGTTACATCTGAATTGTACAAAATGGTTTGAGAAGCGTGCAAGACATTTATTTTAACACAGAGATGTGGCATGACAAAATGTTAAAAACAGGTAAGGGGATCACGAAAAATGGAGGAAGATTCTTTCTCTTCAGGTAAAAAAAAAAAATGGTAAGGCTATCAAGTTAAGTGTGTATGCCTGTCAATGTTTTTTCCAAAAGCAAGAAATGGGCATAACTACAACGTTGCAAAGAAATTGCAAAATGTAGATGTGACTAGGCACCACATTGACACCTCCAAGTCAAGATTTACATAAAAGCCTTTCACATTGTAGAAATTCTATGTACAAGTTTAAACTTAAACTGACCAATCAGAGAAAATACAGAGAAATTAACCACCAAAGAAAACTCGAAGTAATAAATGCCCCGCCAGGAGCAGCAGACATATCTTGAGAACGCCCAACAAGTGGGCGACGAAAGTCCGGTGTTCCTCGGGCACTCTGTTGACCACGTCTGGCAGAATCCAGTTGGTCAAGTTCCACAGTTTGACCAGGTAGGCAAAGATTGGATTCTCGGTGTCAGCAGTGGGATGACTGTGGTGGGGTTTCCTGCGAATGGCTCCCCGGCGCTTGATGGTGGAGGTGGGACTCGTCCTGGAACTTCTCTGCTCGGACATGATGGCTCTGTGATGCAAAAAATTACAAAGTTGACACATGTACGTGTGTATTTCAAATAGTTGAAAGAGCTGCAGACATCTTACATTTGCCAACCTTTCAGGGGGTTGGTTAATTAACGCTGGCCACAAAACCAGCCGGTTTTTTTGCTTGTTTTTAGTCGCAGTTCTCACATACAGGTACCCAAACTGTGAACCCAAAACATGCCAACAAATGTTTCTCCCAATGACTTGTTTCCCTAACAAAAGAAAGTGTCCCATCAACAGCTAGGGTGTAGTGCCGCTAAACTTACCTAATGAATTCAAATGCATGACATGAATTAACGGCTAGCATTCACAGGTGAAGTCTGGTGCCCCCAAGGGCTAATGGAGCAGACATTGTAAGGCTTATGATCATACTGGTTAGCCAGCTTGGCTGTACATAGATGTACTTGTCACACCGACTGCACGTGACATCTGAAAAGCATTGGATTAAACACTGGCCTGTGGGCATTCACGAACATGAAACAAAATGTCAGAGTTTTCATTTCCTTGTGTGGGCGGATTATGTTAAAATGTTGGGATTGAGTGTTCAATCATATTTAATCTGTTCAGAAAATGATGACAGCAATACGGCAATAAGGTTCCTCTTGGCGTCCATGGAAATGAAAGTTTATGTTTCTGGAGCCATCGCCTAGCTGGCTGCGTGGCTTCAACTGCCTGAACATTTCCTCATTGTCAAAAAATTGCATTATCAGAATAAATTTTGATGAAAAAATTCATTTATTCTGGAAAATCTCACTTAGCTTTTACTTCCATCTCAGACACGTTATAAGAACACCATCAGGTGCAGATCCGGGGGGGGTCTCAGAGCTTCCTGCTCTGAGATCTCCCAAAACAGATAAAAAAGGGGAAAAATAATAAAAAATAATCCAACTACGTGCAACAAGTGTAAACAATGTAAGTCTGGCCTGAAACCCCCCCATGAAATTCCTGGATCCACCCCTGACTATATATTGCAACAAACCCACATTAAAAATGTTGAGTGGGAAATACATGTAGGTCACGGTATAAGTTATGCTGCAGACAGATCAAACAATATAGTGTGCATGTATGCCTGAAATCAACAACGGCCAATAGAGTAGAAACCGTAGTGCTCCTATAGGCTTATTGTGCATAATCGCTGAAATGAATTCTCTATTCATCATGTTCATGGTACACTAGGTGTAGACTACTATTTGTTGATATTGAATCTTTTAGATTTTCATGCAAAATAATAACCAAAAAACCCCCCTCTGACACAAATAATGACTGATGGCCTCATTGTTAATGGCCATTGTGGGAATATTTAAATATGAAAAAAATTCTGCTCCTAGCTAGCTCGTGTTGTCCATGGAGCTTCGAGCCACACCTCCCAAAAGAGGGAAGAAATTAACATTTTGCTATTTGTTCATAAGCGTTAAGTACTTACTGTGATATCGTATCCTATTCACGTGTTGAACACAACCAGACTCTCGCTAAGCTTGATGTTTCGTTGATAAAAATTGTAGATGTATTGACGTCAGTCCCTCTCCGCAGCTCCAGTGCTTGGAAATATATGTATGTCCAGACGGCTGTTGTTGGCACTGATACTGTGAAGAAAGTGTGTAAACAAATCCTTCAGCACGGAATAGTGTCACCAGTATAACTCATAATGGACATGTGGGGCACCGGCTTTATTATTATGCTGAGAAGATGGATCCAACGAGGCGTGGACAGCTATTATTCCAAGTAAACCAAGTGCGGCAAGGATTGGTTCCTACATAATGCACATGCTGCTTTGCATTAGGAAGGTAGAGACATGGTTGAATGGCTGTGTGCCGCTGTCAATAACCGTGGTGGTTTCCTCTGAAAAGTAGTGGTCCAGAAACCAAATTTCAGCTCCATTCAGTGCATTTACGAGTGTTGTCCTCAGTTTAGGAAGGATTGCATTCAACTTGACCCTGGGGTCATCCTCTTCACTGATATTGTTGGGATTTCCTGTTGTGGTAGGGGTCAGAAGGAACCAACATGGATGCTAACCTGTATGTTGGTGTCCCCCCCCATCACCACCACCTACACAAATGCACTCCCCAACTCAAAATAGAAATTTTTCTTTATATGTGATTTTATTGTGACCTTTTCTCAATATTTTGATTACATTATCCCCAAAAAATACAAAAACAAACTGCACTGGAAAGAATATTTTCCACTCCTTTGGAATCTATATGTTCAACCCATCCCAATCCACAGAGACTATGTCTAGAACACTTCACATCTTTCAGCCCATAGCTGTGCTGAATCTTTGGAACAATGAGTTCTACTGGAGGGATTATCAAACAACATTTGAGAGAGTTTGCTTTGGTGTACACTTTATGTGATAGAACCTTCATGCAAAGAGAGACTTTTTGTTAGATTCATACATATTCATATATTTCCCAGGGCAGCACTAAATTTACAGTCCATCCTCCTTCCAAAGGTCAGACACCTCAAGCTCCAGGGCTCCCAAAAAAATAACAATAAAAAAATAAATCTAGTCGATCAGATTTGCTCAGAACCTCACAAAACTTAATTGAGAAGATGGTCTACTGCTTGTTAAAATTCTACCACATTATAAATTTCAATAAAATGGGAGTTCTACATGTTTTTTTGCATCATGAATAAGCAATAGATGCAAAACATGATTCATTGTTATATAAACAAAATGAACCGATGAGCAGACAAGGATTTCTATGTACCGTAATGGATTTGATGGAATGATAGTGAAAAGGCAACTGATGCAAAGAATACAACTTGGGGAAAATACAATCAAAAGCTCAATGGCAGATGGCATATAATTGAATAGAATATTGAAAACCTACAAAGTTACATCATCAAGATGGCCATTAATTAAGATGAAGAGAGTGCAAGGCACTAGTGATAGATACAATGCAATGAGTTAATGAGTGACTCACAGTTTCATTCAGATGTTTTTATCCTTGTGATGAGACCTCCTTTTTTTCCTCTTTGGCACAACAGCATATCATCCCCCAGTTTAACGAGATGCTCAGAAGTTCACACGCACAGGCTCAGAGCTTGCACTGTCTGAATAATCACAAGAGAGTGAGTTCCTCCATGATTATTGAAACTAAAAAGGCACAGTAACGGTGCTCTAATCTGCAGTACCGTGCAGAATTGGCCAATCATTGTAGATGTCTGTGGCGCATTAATAATTAACCATGCTTAAACACAGCTCACACATCCAGTTGATTCGGTCTATTTGTAAAATGTCATGCAACCCACCAGACTGATGCACTTTCCTTCTGAATCTTACTTACATTTTGGTATTAAGCTCAGGCACTGTTTTCCTGTACTGATTTGAAAATCCAATATTTTGAAGGAAAAAAAAAACTCAAGTGTTTCTTCTGTATTCAACTAATGTGTGCTGACAAAAAATTATTAAGTATTTCTGGTAATGAAACTAAGGATTCCTCAAAGTGCCCTAGGCACTGCAGCTCGCAAGCCTGAAGAAACCTGTAGAGAGGAGACAATAAGAAGCAGTTGCTGTTTTACAGGTGGGAGGAAAACCCAAGAAAATATTCTGGGTAAATTCAATGGAAGCAGGTAGTGACTGAAAACCTAATTCACATGTGAACCAACATGGGAATTGAACCCAGACCAAATGCAAAGAGGTGGAAGGCGAGGAAAGAACCGCTACGCCAACCTGACTTCCCAGGATTTCCACAGATTTTATGATCATTATTGAAACATTAAGACAAAATACTGGGAAAAGTGCAAGTCTTAATTCTTCAAAACAGTGGTATTTTGAGGTCTGTATTTCAGATTCCAATGTGGTAAATACATCAAAGATTTTCAGTGAATTTGCGTCAGTTGAAAACAGCAACTTCTTCCCCAAAAGTAAAACATTTTGGGTTGAAATAAACATCGACTTTACAAACAATCCAAAATTTGTTAAAATTACCTTCTGGCGATGTGGAAAGGCTGGGTTTCAAGTTACACAGTCGTCTTGTTATGACAAATTATTACCAGTAATGAGTGCGACAGGCAGTTCTTGTGTAAATGGTGCCATTAACATAATGGGTTTTGGCCATATATCATGGGAGTAAATAGCCAAATGCATTACACCTCTACCAGTATACATTAAGAAATGAGATAACTCTTTTATGGATGATGACTAAGGTTGCAATCAGACTCTTATCTGGGAGAGGACATATTGATGCATTGACGCCCTGCCTGAAAAATATCGTGAAAATCAAGACTGTGTTTGTACATGCCAAAATGGAAGCAATGACATCTTTGATTCGTTGATCTAGGATCTTACCCTTTCCTTCAGTGAGGTATTGACAGAATATTTAATCTTTTGATAGGGGTTCCTAAAAGGAAACATTTAAAATAAAAAAAAAAATCAAGACTTTCAAGATGTGTCATCAAAATTGTATCAACAGAGACATTTCACAAATTTCTTAGCCCCCCATATAAAAATCACAGAAATTCCAAATTTACTTCATTTGAAAATGGCAGTTAAATTGGCTACACTAACGTACCATTAGCACCATGTACACGTACAAAATGATTGTTAGACAAACCTTGAAATTATTCACACATTCTGCTCCCCAGCCAAATAGCAGTTTTCTCACAGACTCATGGGCACAATTTGTCCAAATTCCACCTCCCACATTATCAGTAACAGGTCGAGTCAGAATCAGTCACACACCGAGATGAAGAGAAAAAGCTGATATGTGCCAAGTATAAATTTATGAGCTGAATAACTGTTTCACTGACGCTCTAAAGTGGCTTATTATGGTCGGTCACAGATTTCACTTTGTGATCCTTTGTCAAAGGCCTCAATAGTCTACTTCATGCATGAGAGAACCCCAGTACCTTATGTTGCAGAGAAATATCCTTGAGGTTTATTCACTGAAGTGCATTCAGCGAAGGTCGCACGCTCTTTATAAACAGCCATGAGAGTATTTTAATAATGTAGTGTCATGCACACTGTATTTCTCGACCATGAGGGGATGTTGGACAAATGAAAGTGCAGCTTTAGGCTTGGGGCTTCAAAGGTGGTGCTACAATTTGAATTTGTTAATAATTGAGAACCTGATTTTTTTGGGGGGGTATCTTTGAAAATGCAACTCGGGGGGGGGGAGTTCGAGAAAAATTAAGGTCTTGGAAAATTCCAATACGTTGAGGATTTTGAAGATTGTATGTTGGGAAAGTTCAGACCTAGCTTTAGATATTTTAGATAATTTTTTCATTTGGAGAATAAGATTTGTTATTTGATGGCCAGATTACATCTGCAGAGATTGTTCCATCCACTGCAATTAATGTTCTTGGCTCAACAAATAAGGTGACGACCCCTTACAGAAGTCCATTTTAAGGGCACCGTTGAAGCTTAAAATATGCACTGTTGTTACTTAATGAGACACTTGGAAACACACATACATGCACTTTACAGCCCACACACGTGTACATCAGTTTAAGAAACAGTAAAATCCTCTTCCATTTATTTGTCGCTGTTTTGAGAGATAATCACAATAACCTGAAGCTGGTTTTTCCCATGGAAAACAGCTCTAAGTTTAAGGGCTTTGATATCCTTGATAAAACAAGTACTTGAAAAAAAAATGAAATGATATTGCTACAACAATTCAAAGAACAAAACTGAAGAGAGTCTCGCTACTAGTCTAAGGTCCTTCTCACTAGAAGAGCCCTCTGGGATGCAGAATGTAGATAAGTAATAACCGAATGAGAAGACAGGCACCTACATTTATGTACAGAATCGTTTGTTGTGGTTTCTATTGGGTACCTGACCAGGAAGGCTTTGACTTAACACCATGTAAATAAATACCAGAAAGGTCAAAAGGAAAAACACCCTATGATCGATCTTTAAGTGACTGCTGTCGTTACTATAAAGAAACAAACTGAAGGTTAATGTTATTTTCATCCATACTGGAAATTTCACGTTTGTCATTTGACACTGCTAAGGTTCAACAGCTTTATTCAAGGGCATGAGTTCCTTTCAATGGTCACTTTGCTTTAACATTTCACTGGATAACTATCACCTCAGATGAATCCTCAGCTTTGCGTTTCTTTGTTGGGATGTGTCCTTTACCACTAACCGGGACCTTCACATCAAATACTCCTTTAGTCCTTTTCAAACCGGCCTTGGTAGTTAGTCCTTGGGACACCTTCTCGACAGAGGTACAACTTGAACTTGAACCTCCGTCCAATGTCTTCTTGCTCTTAGAACCACTTGGGGCAGCCTTCGAGGCAAGGCTCTCTGGAAATCGACTGTCTGCTTTCATGACCTCACCTTCCTGATCCGAGGGGCGATACTTGAAGACGATAGGCTGAGTGAGGGAGGATGACGCCTTGGGCCCGGGCAAGATGTAGCTGATGGTGGTGTAAGGCGTGAAATGGAAGTCTTCTTTCAGGTAGCCCTCGAGAAGAAGGTAGCACATGATGAACTCACAGTCCACCCGACTCAGCGGTGACCGCTTTGAACCTGAGGGAGTTTGGGAAATACTGAGTACACAGTCAACAATCATTACAACAACGTTAACCCTCCTTCTGTTTTAACCGTCAAAAAAAGTAAAAAATGCCTTCCACTTGATTTCCCCCAGTACACAGACACATATGGGAAATTTGACTGATTTTGACTGATATGACAACTGTGTCAAGAATGTATCTTAGCATTAGGAGGGTTAAAGGAACCAAACCAGGCAAATTACTTTGCTATAGAGTACCAAAGTGTGATGTCATTGTGAACCAGAATACAGTGAAAACGGAGTACGCAAGCATGTTGGTTGGTTCATGCACCCTTATGCTGGTGCATTTCACACACATAACTGTGCATATGACATATTCATTTCAGTAACTTATAACCGGGACTTTGTTATAAAAGGAGTGGGAGAACAAAGAAGAACATAAGAATTTATGAAATTGAGATTCTCATAATTTGCGCTTTTATTACAGTTTGTGTCATAAAAGAGTACTCTTTGTATAAGATTGGACTGAATCTGACATGTTCTTACTAAACGCCTACAGGTAGAATCCTACAAAGCCTTCTGGGCTCAGTTTTAGGTTGATGAGGAACTTTCTAAATTGCTTGTTTGTTTTTTTTGTTGGGGGGTGTTTGTTTGTTTGTTACTGTTTGTTACTGTCAATGGAGTCTGTATCCTTAGAGAAACAGATTCTTGTTCGAAGTCATCTGAACCTGTTTTTACATTTGTGCCGGTGACTGTGAACGGCTCCACAATGCAAAACCAAAAGACCATTATCTTGGCCTATTTTGCAGGCTAGCTTCCTTGCGTTGTTAAGCACACAGATCAGCGGGACGTGAACAGCTCACCAGCCAAAATGTCATGCGACGCGTATTGCTTGCCCCTGGTATTCGGCTCCTGTTTGCAGTTATTGTGCCATCTTCTCTGTTATTGTTTACAATTTCTCTGAAGTGAAATTTTACACTGAACGGCTACATATCATTGACGGTGATTATAACACACCATTTTCTGGTTCTTAACCATGTAGTGAAATTCCTACTACAATTACAGCATGCAGCCGTTGGAATGGCACCCCCTTGAAGATTTGGTTAAGAAAGGCTACAAGCAGATGTTGGTTGGCTTTTCTCCTGTAAATAGTTCTTGCCTGGATTAGGCCAGTAACAAAAGAAAACTGCCCATCAGCGGCAGTGTCCCTTTTGGGTTTGTGCATGTGTGAGGAGAGCATGCTTTCCCGGTTTTATCTGTGTGCGGAGCAAAATGCAGTCGCCATCGCCCATTGGACGAGTTCGGTTGTCAAGACTGACTGCAAAGCCTCGACAAAAAGTTTAGCTCAACAAAATAGTCTTCTTTACTCTTCCTTTTTCCTTTTTTTTTTGGCTGTTGTCTGGAAGTGGGATAGGAGCTGAATAGATGGATCCCAATACGACGCTTTTAGTATCGATCTGCGCACTTCCGTGTTTGAAAACGAGGCTGTATGTGTCAGCTTCAATTCTTAATACGATCAGATGATTGAAAGTAAGGAGTCAAGACACAAAATACATAAAGGTATGTTGAATTCAGACTTTCCAAGCTTCAAATTTTTATGGAAGAGTCTTTCAGGATGACTCGACTCGTAAAATTAAAAGAAAAAATGACGACAATTGACCGCGAACTAACGTACCAGCGATGGTCGTGTATCTTATTCAGTGGGCATGGTTTAAACTGAAGTGACGTCACACTTGCAAACCGGATACTGCATGTACTGTGTGACTCCGCGGGCATGCGTGACGAAGTTCAACACAGAGAGCCTCGGTTTCGATGCAGATATCTATTGGAAGTGTATACTCCTCTACGGTAACTATCCCAATCGAAGGACAACACCTTTTCACCTTATTATTTATTTCCCAGTTCAATTCTGCCGAGATGGAAATTTTCCTCGGAGTTCAGTGGTAAGGGATATTTATTTAAGTTCCTATTAGGGATAATTTGGCTTAATTTATCCAAATCTCCTAAAACCACATCGCGCCGGGGGTATTTATGAATGTTGATGATGCTGGGACGGGATAATTTTCATTTTTTTTCTGTTTTCAAAATTCTTTAAAAATTCATATCTTCAATTACTGGACACTTACACCCACACGAAGGACTGTCTGGTCTACTCTAACCTGACAGACAACATCTATTGACGCTGCAGTATTTCAGCCAGGCCTGCTGCCTTGTAAAAGAGCCCAGATTGTGCGGTGTTGTACAACTGTCTTTTGTTCACGAACCTGGCTCAGTGCACTGCTGACCTCTTTTCAATAGGGGCCAGATTAGCGTGCAGGGACACTGTGTGGCTCATCGCTGCGGTGGTGGAGCACTTTTGTCCCCGATGGTAATCCGCTGACGCTGAATGCCCCTGAACAATGGTATACTGTTTCCAAAAAATGATGGATTATCTCCGCTATTGACAGTGAAAAAAATGTTAGTAATGCCCAGCAGCCTGGTCTTTTGTTACGAGTACTGTCTTTTGTTACAAGGTCCAGTTCCCTTTGTCCAATCTCGGAGACCCCGGCCACGCGTATAAAGAATACGTGTCCAGTACCGGAAACCCCAGCGGCAAGTGGTTAATCCTGATTGGCTGAGATACAGTCACATGGGGCTCACTAATATAGGCCATGAACTTTGACTTAGTGTGAACTAGAAGCGTGTCCGCATGTTATTTCCAAAGTGTAGTGCCTCATCAGGCACTATGCTCAAACGTTTTGACTGGTTACCATGGTTACAGGACCCTCACCAATAAAGCCCTGAACAGTTTCCTTTCTTTCTGTATTTTGAACAAAGCTGTGTTATGGAATACTGAAGTGAATTTGTCATACACACAACTATGTCTGTGCATGAACCAACGTGTGCGTACTCCGTTCATTTGCACACCACTTCCTGGTTCACAATGACGTCACACTTTGGTGCTCTATAAAGCACATACGGGCTGGTATAAGTCAGTTACACAGTGTGAGTCCATACCCCTCAGGTCTTTGAGTGACCAGATGAGGCTCCTTTAGCCTTCAGTGTTTGGCCTGATGAAGTAGGACCCTTTTCTGGTCACTCACAGTCTCTTGGGGTACACAGACTTGCATGAGTAATGTCACTGCCAGTCCACATATGCATAAAAGGTCGAAGTTCACTAGTTTCCATCTCACCTTCCAATCTGTAGCTTGGTTTCTTGGCTAGCCATTTGTCGACCAGTTTCAGCGGGGTGATCCGTTCCGTCTTCTTGGTTGCAGCCTGGAGTGTTTGGAGCAGGCTGATGTAGTAATCATTGAGTTTCATATTATGAACTGCAAGGATAACACAGAAAAGTGGAAAGGCTTGGGTTCAATGGTTTTGTCTTGTTAGGTTTCAAACTGTTCCAATTTTACACCAGCCAATACTAGCAACTGTGAAGGCAAAACTAACCCATAGTGGTAGTTGTTATGCTGTTCAATGTGTAAATGCATATATATGAATGTAAGCGGCTTCCATCTCTAGTTAAGAGAATGAAACAGCAATGTTGCAACTCCGACAACAAGCAGACTATAACTCACTACTTTCCCTTAGATGCAAGAACTCACTCTATTCAGGTCAACACCGAGAGGGAGTGAAAACCCATCGGGAATGCCTTTCCGGATTGAAAAGGAAATCAGACAGCAACGAGATTCAATTTAGGAAAAGTTTGTTAATGACAAAGACGGATTGCAACATTTGTTTCGGAAGCTCAAGCCAAGGTTGCGTTTTATTATTTCAAGATTTTTCTATGCGGTCTGTTTTTTGTAAGAGCATCTGACTTGCACACAATTTTGCACTGCTGCACCTATGAATCAATCAATTAGCACTGGAGATGCAAACTGCCTCAGGGAGACATTGTTACACATGGCGTGTAGGGTACCTTGTTCTTTGTATCTACAGTTATCGCACATGTCATTGCACAGCTGTTTATTGGCGTCCAATCTCTCGTCAAAATGTTCTGCCTGGATACTCCGACGACATCTATGATGTTGGGAGGGCGTAAGAATAGTGAAAATAATCACTGGGAATGTGGGTCATTGATCATTGGAACTGTGGACATAGATGTGGACAGCAGTGCTTGCCTTCTAGAAACATTAACATAATGAGGGAATAGCACCTTATGACAAATGCGGTAATTGCTCGTAATTTTAGGCGCGTTCTATCCACACCACCACAAGAACATTAACCTTTTACCAATGAACTTGGCTGAAATTCTGGCTCTACTAACAAGCTGCTTTGTATTTCTTTACTCTGAACTGAAGATAGATTCTCTGTGCAATTACAAAAAAAATGAGAAGCTGTACAATTTCCACTGTTTTTCACCATTACTTTCTAGTTATGGCTTACACCAAAGAAGCCTTTTTTTACCTTAGTCTGGTTTGAGGAACAGTGAGTCATATTGCACATTAGATAAGGCAACTTGGGTCTGACCTGTGCTTGTCAATGCAGTATGCCACCATAGCGTAGAGTTTCTGCAGCCCTGTTTGTTCCACCATGACCATAGTGCTCTGACGAAACACATCCGATGACTGGAAGAACAGGGTGCACTCTGCCGGCTTGTCGTCCCGACCTAGATCAAACGGGACCAATCACTGTCCACACTGTAGATTGGGGATACAACCCCATCGCCTCAAAACACAATTTAGCTTTAAGCAGAGCAAAACTCTCTCACAAAAGAAAATAAAGCTCCAAAGTACGAGTTCTTTGAACGCCTCAACAAGAATATGTTTGGCTCCATTAGGATACGTTATATATATTTTTTGAATGGCGTTCAGATGGGAACACAGTTTTCCACTTAATGCCCTTGTTGCAAACCACCTCTAAATATGTGAAACTTGAAACTACTTTCTCATGGAATGCAAATGAATTAATTGACCAGGAGACGGATAATAATTTTACAGTGGCTTTTTTTTTTTTTCTATAGCCCTAACATTCCTGAATCCTCCAATTTTAATATGATTTTGCACCCACCCTAGGGAGTTAGGGTTTTAATCTGCAGTTTCACATCTACGTATTAAAGGGTTTAAAGCACTTCAGGATAACGAGAGCTCCCGCTGCACCAAACATATCACCATCTCTCTTGGTATTTACAAGATCCATGCTCTTGCTTGTCAAAGATTACATGATTAAGTCACACGTGGATCAAACAGTTACTGAATACATCGGTTGTGTAGGCTATCTGCCTTCCCCCCCCTGCCATACCTGCCCGCCCACTCTCCTGGTAGTAGTTCTCCAGTGACTTGCTGAGGGAGTGGTGGATGACGAAACGTACGTCTGGTTTGTCAATGCCCATGCCAAAGGCTATAGTTGCTATCACGACCTTCAGCCAAACAAAGAAAACAAAACCAACAAAATCAAAGTCTGCCAAACATTATTCCTTCCTCAGATAAGTACACTTTAGGCAAGTGGTTTAGTTCGTTGTTTTAAATATTGAACGGCGCCTTTGAATGACTAGATGTTGTGAAAGATGAGAACAGTGTTTAAAGCCAGATGGCTGCAGAGCTAACTTTCATGACAGCGTTGCTTTATGGTGATCCGAAAATCTCCAATTCTCCCTTGTATTTAGCAGGCAAACGCCCTTATGCTAATTTGGCATGAAGAATTCTATGGTTGTGGGCCTTTATTTCAAATGTTATGTTTAAGTTGTAGTGCCTACCGCTCACAATCTCCATGAAAGGGGCAGACAATGCCAGAAAGGGACTGCTAAGAGAAAAAAGGAGTGGTGGGCAGTGCAAATGCACTGAGTTAGTGGTACGGCATGGAGTGTGGGCTCAGAGGTTCACAACTCACATCTGAGAAGGACCCAATCACTGCGGCTGCGTTTGAGTATCTAAATCCTGGTATATTCTAGAGTACATGAACAGCGGCAGTATGACCAATGGCTGAGCAAGAATATACTCTCGATCAGACTGGGACTGTGCTCTGACATCACATGGTTATTTTTTAAGGTGGCAAAAAGGTGTTTTGTACTCGCGCGATGTGATCAGAGAGCAACGTGCATGCAGACTTTTCCTCCACTCGCAAACTATTGAGAGGGACAAACCCAGCCTATGTGTGACAGTGTGTGCTTCTGCAATGTGCTAGAGAAGAGAAATCCAGAGACCAGTGCTGTGAGTCACCGCGAACAAGTAATGCTCTTTTTTTGAATCATAGTGCAGCCCACACAAACACAAGTATTGAAAAGTCCCGCGGCGCGCTCACGCAGGAATCCCACTGACGAACTGTTGACAATGCCACTCCCCCCAAAAAAACAGGACCAACCTGTGTCAGGCCACTCTTCCATCTTCCATGCACTGCGCTGCGGTAGCTGGCCTCCAGGTCGGCATGGTAGGGCTCGGCCTGGATGTTACACCCCTGCAAGGCTAAGGCCACCTGCTCCGTGTTCTTCCGGGACAAGCAGTAGATGATGCCTGAGAAAAAAACAACGTTCCGATGTCCAAAAACAAAAACCAGACGCGTGAACCTGACATTATGAGAAAACAGGAAAGTCAACATCCCAACTGATGGGAACAGATGGGCATGATGGCAAGTTTAGTGACATCAAGTCGAAGGTAATGAAAAGCCGATCTCAGAAAAAGAATCCAAGATAGCTTGCTCATGTTGGAGTTAGTGGGAAAGGGACACTCACTGTGTATTAAAGTTAAGCCATAATGACCCAATCGTTGGAGTTTAATATTCCTTACAGACAAGGAAAAAAACCTTGAAATGATACTACCAATTTATCACTGCTTATTACATCAGTTGAAAAAGGGCTTTTCAAATATTGGATAAAATGACAAGATTAAGAGTCTTGCTACTAACCTCAAGTACATCTATCCAAGTATTTGTCCACGGACGATAACTAGTGGTTCCTTGAATGTTTATGTGAAAGAATGTGCCATTGGATTCACACACTGGGGCAGATTTTAGAGGTTACAACCACAGTGCCTGTTAGGACTGATGTTCACACCCAACAAAAATAAACAAATACTTGGGCTTGATTTAGAAGATGTCCATGTAGAAGGAGACGGAATACTTAGAACTAAGGAGCCCACAGTTCGTCATGTCACAGGTTTAATAAAAAAAAGACAATAAAAGTGGATCCATGAGGTGAATGCCAGACAGCTGACATCAATAAAATAGCCAAGAGACATGTGACATGCGACATACCTGATTGGCCTTTGTAACGTCCATTGAGTAACTGCACCAGTAATTCGATGAAGCGAGCCTCACTGCTTGGTTTAGCATGGACCTGCAAATCAAAGATGGGTGTTTGACCTTTCACATTTTTAAACCTGCGATTTACACTGATAGCACTTCCGGAACTCTGCGTCAATGAGAAATGTCAGAGTGCAGAGGGAGGGAAATGTGGAATACACCTTATTATGAATGAAAGGGTCTTGTGTTCAAAGGAAAGCTGAAATGTGATTCCGGAAATGACTATAAGCATACCAGAGACGCCACAGGGTCTGCTCGAAAAACCCCAGAACTTTTTAATCCTAGTAAATAGCATCGAAGTGCACAACCGACTGTAGTGAATGGAGGGCATGATATCAGGGGAGCTCTTCTCTTGCAGTATTGTCCAGTTTCACTTAAGAAGGAAAATGGAATTTTGGGGGTCTGTTTAGAAAAACGGAAATCTGGATCTGAAATCCGGTCAGGGGGAACAGAATTGTGTGATGTACTCTGATCATCTTTATCAAAGTCATGGTCACAGCCAATTTTTTTATTCTAAAGCAAACACTAGGCTATACCTGATAGAGAAGATTGGCTCTGTTGTAGCTGGACCTGAGTATGATGCAAGCGTGTAGGTTTAGCAAGCCCTTGACGTCTTCAAGCACATTAGCTGTGGCAGTGGCAGTCAATCCAAGCACCGGTACCTCGGGAAATTGTCTCTTGAGGACACCCAACATCTTATAGTCTGAGGAGAAAAAAGGAAAAGAATCCTTGGGGTATGCACCCACCATGCATGGCACAATATACCACACCAGAGGCATTGACGTATTCTGAAGTTAAAAAAACATTTAAAATCAGAGAAACCACCACATTAAAGGAAATGTCCAGTGAAAACTCGGTTCAACTTATTTTCAGACAGATGACTTTTTTGTTACAATACAAACAAGATTTCAATACTTCTTTTCATTGAAACTGACAAGAAGGTGGTAGTTTTTCAGTTCTTAGAAGATCCTTTCCCAGATACTTTTAGGGGGATGCTATTTTGCTTTTGTCACACAAGGCACTCCTTGTCAAAAAGGCACAAGATAAAATATAAAAACATCTGTCTTGAAAACTACTCATCAAGGTTATGATTACCATATCATGTTGTGCCACAGGCAAGGTCCTTGCTAGTGAGTAAGCGTTCCATGGGTTTTCTGGTGTGTATGTTTATTTCTCAGTGGGTTTGATGTTACAATGTGTCGCATCAAATATGGTAAGGATTTAAACCTATCCGTGGCGTCATCTAGTTTGCATGCCCACTGTAGTTCAACGAAGCCCATGGCTCTGAAATGTCTGATGCACTAGCCAATAAGGATCAACTTTAGATGGGGTTTATTGGTTGATAAATGTTAGATAACCACATGTACCTCTGTTTCCTTTATGATCAATTTGACGCCAACGACCCATATAATACATGCGGAGGAGGTTCTCATAAATGAGTTGTCAGCAAGCGTGTTGACACAACAAATGTCCGACCACTAGGACGGTTAACCAGGACCCAGCCAGCAGATAAGAAGAAAATATTGCTTGGCAAATTTTCATGCTAAGCAAGTATAAGCGGAGAGCCGGTCTCAACAAAAATATATTTCATGACACTTCAGTTGGAAGCCTGTTTTGCTAGGCAGATAATTTCTATGCTTAGCAGTACTGTGAAACGGGTAAACAGTCCAGCAATCTGGTCAGGTTCACTTGGCATAATGGTTCTTTCCTCACCTTTCACCTCTGTGACCTGGGTTCTATTCCTGGCTCGGTCTACATTGTGGGTTGGGTTTTTCTGTCCCTACCTGATTCTCTGGGTTTCACCCTGAATACTCTTTCTGGGGTTTTCCTCCCACCTCTAAAACTCTAACTGCTTCTCATTGTCTCCTCTCGACAGGTTTCGTCAGGCTTTGTGAACTAGTGCCTTTTGAGGAAGCCTAAGATTCTTTACCTGAGATGTTCAGAGAATGATAATAACGATGACAGGGTCAAAGGAACCAACCTGGTCTGAAGTCATGTCCCCATTGACTACAGCAGTGCACTTCATCGATGGCAATCCTAGCCAGCCTATCCTTAGTATAGCACTTCTGCAGCTGTGCCATGAAGCGTTTGCTCTTGGCGATCTTCTCAGGGGTGACGTAGAGGAGACGCAAAGGGGCCTTGGGGTCTAACATGGCCGCATTGATTGCCTTCAGCTAGGACACGCAAGAACACAAATTACCCGGTCACGCAAATGCTTTTAGCCTATCCCTCGCTTGTTTGGTTTTACATTTTTCACCTGATAGCCAGTGGCGCAATAAGAATGCATTTTTTAGTGGGGCACCAGGGAGGGAGCACATTTTTCAGGGGAGCACTGAATGCTGATAATCTGGAACTTGTACATATTCTGTGTACATTTAAAAATTTCTGATGGGACACAGGGGGGGGGAGGAGCAACCAGGAAAGAGGATCTCTGCAGGGGGAGGGCATTGACCTCCCCTCTCCCCAGTCATTGAGCTACACCCAATCAGCAAGAATCTCTGAATAGGAAGAACTAGAGGGTGTCACTGGCACATCAAAGGACTAGCAAAAGTCTGTGGGTGCCAATCCAAACAGAAGTGTTTACGCAAAGAAGCACGGTATATCTGCTTTGGACCAATATCAGATTGGTTAAAGTTGCATGGATATTTTCCAAATCTTGTCTTTATCCGGCTTTAATGGTCTAATGCTCTCTGATAGGTATTAAGTTCTTTACTGTTGGAACCGAATGGAAATCTTCCCAATTCGGGCCTTGTATTAGATCATTTGATATTTCTGCAGCAGCACATGAACCTGCATAGAACCAAAGGGTTTGAACTCAGTGGGCTAACTTCATGAAACTGAAGACAGAAGCCGGAGATGAACGCACGATTCCGAAAACTCCTTTTATTTCTCAACATTGGTCTACACCGGATACAGTGCCTGGTTTTCAACAACCATGGGTTAATCCGCTTCGAGCAGAACAAAAGACGGCATTTTTTTTGGTACTCACCGCATATGTGTGCTGTGAGGCACTCAAGCATATGCGCGTTTGACGCGGAGCACACTGAGTGCTTGAACTAATCTCTTCCAGCTTATATATAACCACCTGTCTTTCTTTTCGCCGAATGGGGGTGCAATTCACCTCGGGGTGGATAATGACTTTAGCTTTGCAAAAAAGGGGACGGTGGATTCCGTCTGAATAAGATCTGCCGGACTGGAAACAAACTGACTCGGTGTACAACTTGGTTCTTATGGCAGGGCATTCTGCAAATAATCAACAAAAGTGGCGCAAGAAAGAAATGATGGCTTGATGGTCAGGCTTTTGACTGTGGTACCTTATCGGGAGGTGTGCTCGCGTTCAGTAAGTCGGCTGGTATGCCAAGCTGCTCCAAAGCTAAAACCTGGTCTTCCATGAGAGAAACCAGGGGAGATACCACCAGCGTCACGCCTGAGGGAAGACGAGAGACAGTGATTACCATCAGACATCAGCAATTCATGCACTTGAAAGTTGCCACACTTTCAATCAGGTCTTCGGTACTTGCTGAAATTTGAGTGGTTAAGAGCTGACACGTGAGGTCACTTTTAAAACAAATGGAAAAAACATGGAAACCTTCTCTCGAAAACATGCATGTAATGTGCCATTGGCTCCCGTTAGCCACAGAATGGCACGTAAAACCTCTGCACCAAGTCCATACCTAGACTGACTACTGTCGACCCCAGAAGTCCAAATCTTCTGACTTTGCATTATCAAAGGGAACAACATACAATATTAACCTGTTGGTCTCTGTACTGCCCGGCCTGCAACTCCCTATACTAATCAGCTGCCCAAGCACCGTAGGGTTTTCATGGACTCACTAAGGAGTGCTCCAACACAGACAACAAAATGAGTAGCACATGGCGAGAGCAACTTTTGAGTTAAGGCCATTGAAAGAATCAAAACGAACTCTGAACATTTTACTGACTTTAAAGCGTACTTTCACCAAACTAGAAAAGTGAGTTACACATCGAAACAGAACGGCTTAGCTTAGTCTTTTTCATGCAAACTAAAACAAAAATAAGAATCATTTAGTGGGATCTGGTTACATTTAAGTATCAAATGTTACAAGTGCTGATTTGTTGAAGGTATGAAGCAGTGGAAGCTTAGCAACATACCTTTAGATATGAGCGCTGGCAGCTGGTAGCACAGGCTCTTGCCTGCCCCCGTCGGCATGACCAGGAGACTGTCTCGACCTGATAGCGTCGTGTTCATCACCTGCTCTTGCATCGCTCTCAAGGACTCGATGCCAAAGACGGACCTCTTCAAGCGGTGCAGTTCTGCCGACCAGGGGAAATCTTAAGGGAAAGGGAAAGAAAAGGAGACCAATGTGGTCAGGTCTGAGGTTTTGGGCTTGGTGTAAGGCACCGGACAGAAGACAAAGGCATATGCCCAATTCTCCTAGAAGATTTAGAAGTATGACCTATTTTTGAAAAGAAAAGATCCTAGTTAGGGCTGTGTATGGGAGTAGGCCACCTGAGTATTGAAGTGGGTCGCCATTACTACACCAATGCAAATTACCATGGAAACTCTTCAAACAAAGGTTCTGTGGGAAAAATTGCAATATAAAATCAGGGCATATGAAACGCTAAAACAAATTTCACATTTGTGTCGAAAGGTTCTTGATAAGTATTTTAGGAATGCAATTGCCTGTCTGCTTTTGCATTTCCAGATGAATTTTGGAATTGAGTTTTCTTATGGGTACCTATGTTTGACTTTGTTACGCCCCAACTATAGCATAAGTCCCAACTATAGTTGGGCCTGTCCCAACTGTAGTGCTGCAGTTGGGCTGGCCCAACTATGTTGACCAATGCCTGTGGGAAATGTCTCAACCTTATCGAAGTCAATGTGTCTCACACTTGACACAATTCATCTAAAATGTGGCACTTTATCTGTTCATCTAGCCATATGACCAATGACATAACATTTGTAAACAATATGACTTTGGCACATGCTGGGCACATCATGCACACAGGACCTCTCTGCTGTAGTTGGGCCGGCCCAACTGTAGCACTCTAGTTGGGACGGGCCCAACTATAGTTGGGACTAATGCTATAGTTGGGGCGTAACAACTTCAATAGGGTACCTAGTTCCTACACTTCCAATAACTCCACATCATAGTCACTTTTAGTATGAGATGGTGGCATCTGCTGAACTCATAACAGCCTTCAGAAAAAAAGCTCTCCCGACTTTTTGAAGATAAACAATGTCAGACTAAGAGGAACCCCTATCAAAGGTTGTTTCAGTTTAGGTGTCCAGCCATCGGTATTCCATGTTGACTTTTGGCCATATGCCAATTTTGCTTTCTACCAGGCCTTCTACAAACCCAATTAAATTGATGGTTGGTTTAATTGGGGGGTGAAATTCCACGCATACAGTGCTTTGATATCATTGGGTTTTAGTTGGTCTTTGGTTGTCTTTGGTGTTTTCGCTTACACGTCAGTGACAAGCAGTATCATCTGTCCTTGGCTTGTACAAAATTTGGAAAAAATCCAGCAGTGCTTTCACCGTCTGCACTGACCCTAACATCACAGCCCACGGACCAGAATTTTAACCTGAGTCTTACCAGACTTCTGGAAGTCCCCTCGCTCCGTCTCCAGCCTCTGGCATAGCGTCTGCAGCTGGTCTATTCTTGTCTTGAGTTCCTGCTTCTGGGTCAAGAGACGATCTTGTCTCTGGACGAGGGCATCGATGCGCCCACGGACATGATCCAGCTCGCTCTCAACTTGGCCAAGGTCATCTAGAAATCCTACGGGGGATTGGTTTGTCACAGAGCCATCAAATAAGCTTTGTGTCTCGTGTGAGTTAGTGAACAGGTCTTAGTATAAAAATTTCACAGAATTCTGCTTTAACTGAAAAGGAAAACGGGACTGGGAGGTGTCACCTGAAATTTTTCGTTTGAAATATTATTACTATACACTGACCCAATAGACAAAGGGTATCCTAGGAAAACTTTAAAGGACAGCCGACCCTGTGATCAACCTACCCTGCAGCTCTTCATGGACGTCTTGAACAGTCGCCGAACTTGAAGAGGATGCCATTTCCCCCTGATGCTCCGGAGGTGTTCAAGACGGGATTTGCTTCATGGTTGCAACTTACAAGTACAATGTATGTGCAGTTTACAGCAGTTGGGGCTTTGAGGACGATTTGGCAATCCTCACGGTTCTGTAGAATGTTAAGACAATATTTTGAAGCCCTCAATCATTCCCTTGTGAGATAAAGGTGCTGTGTAAGATAAGTTCATTAAAACTTTTGTGCATGATAAACATGTCACTTATATTCACAAGTAAAAAATAGACAAAATACATTTTTAATATAACCTTTCCCTTCTTGTACCTAGGGCCCATATGCAGGAAAAGCTTGTGTTTTTGTTTCAGTGATATATTGAGCTGAATATTGGAGATGATAATGGCAAAGAACTCCTTTCTTACTGTTTTTAAATACAAAAGGTTTTCATCTAGGCCGACATTGCAAGATGGCTAAAAAGTGATGAGTCTAGCATGTCTAGTACTAGTACTAGTAGCCCTAGTTATAGCCCCACTTGCGTGGCACGGACTGTCACTCCCGATCCATCCTTAAGGATGGAGCAGGAGTGAGAGTCCGTGCCACACTAGTGGGGCTACCCTAGTTATATGTGCAAACTTTGAAAACTCAGCTCTATGGCTTATGACATGGGGAATTTTTGCTCTACCCCTAAATGATGTGGCTTGCTCCGCTCAGTCTCCCTACAGGCTACATTATGAGCCAGAGGTTAGGCCAAGGCCCGGAGCTTGTTTCCCAGGCTGTCGTGCAAATAGCAGGCCCAGCAGAAGCTTGTTTATCTATAGCCCAAAGGCCCATGAAAGTCCCAAGTTACTCATGCTTCATGTACATGCATGTACTTCTCTAACTGGCAACATCAGGCTTGTGATGAAAACTTTGGTTTATTGGTTTCTGTTTTGGCGGTGGATATTTGACCACCAACAGACAGGCTAACCCGTACGGCCGTAGTAATCCTCTTGCTTTGCTGTCAGCACAGCAACTGAACATTCCAAGGAGTATTCGTAGTACTTACTCTGTTACCAAATAGTATATACAGACACGGAACAATGCAAAGAAGAATTTCAGAGCGAGAGTTTAACAAAAGTAATCATTATTTTGCAGCTTACAAATCCAAAGTTGTACGACACACGTGCCCAAACAGCTCACCAAACTGAATTGAATAGCGCCCTCTTGTGACAGTGTTGTGCTGTTTTATTGGATCCATGGGCTATGATGGGCTCAGCCATGCATTCAAAAAACATACGGCACAAGTGGATTGCTTTCCACCGTGCGTGCGCTGGTGGGTCGAAAAAAGCGTTGAGATTCTCACCGATGTTCTTGGCCAGTGCATTAGGCACCAGCAAATACCCGGTCATTAATCGTGAATTTAACTCCAGATCAAAACGCCGACATCAATAAAATTCAAACAAATCGTGTCGCCACGTGACTAGACTAGGTCGCGGAATTCCATAAAAAAAAAAACCCCAACAAATAACAACCTGATAAGTTAGCTCTGTTTTTACGACACTCAGATGACGCTCACTGCAAGCATTGATAAATCGGAATGAAGAGAAACTGAACTTCTTCCTCTACCGAGTAATGTCTTAATTACTCATGTTTAGGAATATTCTGGCGGTGGGATGTGGACATTTTACAGATTAATTAAATCAAAAGGAAAACTAACTGTAAAACTGCAGTACCATTTTGAAAACATGATTCCGTTTATTTACCTTCTGAATGCGCTTTCCAGTAATTGTTGTGTTTTATAATTTTTTGACTACAGGACCGAACTTGAGTCATAAGTTTAGAGTCATTATCCAAGGTTTTTCCGTATTGATTCTGAGTTGTACAGTCCAGCACTGTAACAAGGAGACTGAGAAGTAAAAATCATTTTAAAAAGTCCTGTTTAAGTAGTATGGATTTTGGAATTTTTGTTGTATATCGCTTTTATTTCATTGCAGGTTCATTGAATCCAAAAATTGATTTTATTTCAATTTGCTTTGTAGTCACTATGACTTTTGTGTTCTTAGACAATTTCAGAACCACTTCACATTTTCATTTAATTCTTGACAGAATTTCCCGTTTTTATCTTTTTTTTCCATAAAAGGTATGAGTTGATTTCAACACGAATGAAATTATTTCCCTATTGGTAATATTATTTCTCTTCTATAAATAATAGTTACTGCAACGGTTACTAAGGCACAATTCCAGTTTCACTTTTACAGTTTAATTTTGGTGAGATAAATGGGTGAGGATAAATCACGTTCTTGGTGACTCTTCAGTGCATAAAAAAAATACATTCTAATGTACGTTTTTATTTTCATTTCAGTATTTAAAAGCAATTCTAAAAGGCAATGAGTGGACCCCTTGAGTTTTGTTGTATCTGTGTTGACTGCGATCCCCAAAGCACTGGTCAATATCTTTTGCTTCAAAGAGATTTTGAAAAGTTCTTTGTGCGAGTTCAGCTCTCTTGCTCCTCGCGGTAGAGCTGTTTTCCTGTTATTTTGAACGCTTCGTTGTAAACTCGTCGTGGATAGCGCGCTGTCTTCAGTGGCTCGACCTGTCGGTGGTCCACGGCAGCGTTTTCTTTCTCCAATTCCAGGGCCAAAGCTCGGCATCTTTCGGCGTCCATGGCGGCCGCGATAGCTCGTTGTTCCGCTGCATATGGACCGCCGGGAAGGGGAGGGAGCTCGATCCAACGACGAGGGCAAGACCGACGCTTACGTCTGGCGTCAGCTGGTTAGTAGTAGGAAGCAAGTGAGCGAGTTCATATATTGGTCAATCCAGGAATACATTTCTCTTCTTATCAGTCATCAAAAATCTTTGTCAGTTGCTATCCGTTACAGTTTATCCAAGAAGGTGTTATCAAGACGTCAATGGCCAGTGGACTCACCATATTATCGTTAAATCTTTAGGTCATGTGTGGGTAACGATTTAGCTCAGTTAAATACAATACTCCAGTGTAAAAACTAACCCAATATGCCTCTCAATACTCTGGACGATCCTGACTTGGTGGTGACATTTTCTGGCTTAATGACGGAGTGGCTAACGATTTCCTGTGACGGGTTTTCGACGATGAAGGCGGTTTCCTTCAGGGACGCGTCGTTCGCAAATCGCACCGAGAGTCTCCTGGCTCGAATGTCTGGTTTGCTACCCGAGTGGCTTGGAGGTTGGAAAGCTACCCCGAAAAAATAATAAACAGGTACCAGTTTGTCATGTCAGTGTAGCTGATGGTGATTATAGTAATAATGGAGATTTTTATGTTGGTTTCATCCCTTATTTGAAGGGGATTTTGAAAAGGAAGTCAATTCATACTGAGGAAGGTTATCAAAAAGGTCTCTGTAGGCCTATACAAGAAATATGAGAAACACAAAGATATTGGCAGTGGTGTTGTGACATATAAAGTTTAGAAGGCAGGTTCCTAAAGCATACCTTTCCCCAATCCTTGGTCTCGCTGGTCTAGTTTTTGTTCTGGTTTCAGTTCTTCTGACTGTTGCAAAATTCCACCATTTCTTTGCTCTACCGGCTCCCCGGAGTCAGTGTGATGTCTTCGTTCAGCTTGTCTCTCTTGTTGAAGGTCTTCGCTCCGTCGGACGCCTGTCTGTTCTGCGTTTCTGGCCCGAGGCTGTTTAAGTTGATGCAGGCATGGTCGTTTTGTCAGCCGCTGAAAGGTGGCCTCTTTCTCATGTTGGGTTTTGGTGGCCAGTCTTTGCTGAGCTTCAGCTAGTCTTTGGAACCAAGTCTTGTCCCCGAACTCAGCGTGTCGTTTAAGTAGATCAGTCTGTTGATGGCGACCGTCCTGATGTGGATGGCCTTTAACTTCCGGTTTTAGATGTCCAAGTCTTTTAGTCTCGGTCTGGTCTCTTGGTTCTCTACCACGCTGCAGTTGTTGTTCAGCTTGCATTCGATTCAAGATTTCGCGTTGAGCCTCAAAATTCGATTTAGACTTCATTCGAAGTTCTGCATATCTCTGAGGTAAAACGGTGAGAATATTGACCACGGCCGGAAGTCTTCGACTGTGCCAGGAACTGAAGTGCAAGCATCCCTGTTTATCGATATCCGGCCCTTTCAGATCATTATCTTGGCTCCATTTACGTCGAGTTTTCAGACCTATTTGTTGGCCAGATATTCTGTGTTGCATCTTCTCATTATTCGCTTCAGGACTTGATTGAGACTGGACCGCCTTCTCCTTTCGTTTTTGTTCTGCATAAAACGTGACGAAGTTGTCCAACGTGGGAAGCTCGGGATGGCTCCAGGCATTGAAGCGGAAACATCCCGATATGTTCAGATCTTGACGGTTTAAATGTGCCTGTTCGCACACTCCAGCTTGCCTATGAAGATCCTCTTGCTTTTTAGATTTTTTCTGACTTTCATTTCCAACCTTCTTTAGCTGGAGTTGTTTTTGCCGCTGTTGATCTATTCGTCCCTCACGGCTAGCTTGTATGCGCAGTTGGACTTCAGCTGTCCTCTGGAACAGTGACTTTCTGGGTGAACCAGGTTGTTTGTGACCGTCATCTCTGATGTTCTGGCCGTCCAGCTGGAGTTGAGTTCCCAGTGCTTGCTTGGTTTCTTCTTGTTCTGTCCTCTTCAATTGTCCGGGACCTTTGATTTCTAGATGACAGTTGATATTCGGTTCGGTTGAAGCTTGATGTTGAAGTTTGTAGGACCAACTTAGCTGGGATCTGTTGTCTTCCCGTCGACTGTCTGAGATCTCCTCAAATGACTTTCCCAGAAATTCGGGATCTATGGCCTGAGTAGGAGCCTCTGCACTCGGTGTGGTAGACTCCTTAACTCTTACACAGTCCTCTTCGGTAATATTAGCAGAGTTTCCTGTGGTCAGAATAGTTACAGGCTTCTGTCTAACAGTCTGTTTTTCAATGTCTTTCACGGCTTGCTGGTTATGACGATCAACTGTGTGATCACCAGAATGTCCCAGAAGCTCCGAATGTTGCAGATCCAACTTCTCAGCCAGTATCTGATCCTCGGGCTGATGGTTTGATGATTCCGTAAGTCCCTTGCTCTGTTTGGCTGCCCTAGTCTCATTTGGTTGACAGAATGCATCACCCCTTGGTTTTGGTGATACTTTCTTTGAGGAGACTTTGACAGTAGCTTTGTTTTCTGTTCCGTCGTTGTTGGCATGTTCCACGTGTGGGTCGATTTGTGTATTGTACACCAACGCATCGTCTTTCGGGAGTAGAAATTTCTGGTCTTGTGTTTTCTCCACGAGTTCATTCTTGCTGTCGTTGTTAGGTTTGTGTGTGGATCTATCTTGGCGTCCAACATCTGAAGTTGGAAATACGACAGAGCAATAATCAGTTATGCTATGCTCAATTTCTGTCGACAAAAGTCACCGGTATAGGGTAAGTGTGAGAAGTGTTTTTCCAGTTTCCCATCGCTAGTCTAAGTATAAATTGATTTAATTGCCTAATTTCTCTAAAACGATTAAAAAACTTAAACAGGTTGACTGATTTTTGGTAAAAAGTGCTAGCTCAGCAGGTTCTCTATTACCCTTTCAAATAATCATAAGATCTAATTAATAAGAAGAAATGTCTTTAAAATGGACATCTACCCCTGGCCAATTAGGGTGCTCAACATCATTATTTTACGTAATAAATGACCAATTATTTTAAAATACTCACTAACATACATTAACCAGTACCAATAACCCATTATTTTACCCATGAAAGGAGAAAAGTTTTTATTATGTTGGGCGTTCCCAATGCAAATTTTTCATTTCTTTTTTATCGGTAACAACTTAACCAAAAAGGCCAAACATTTCAAATACATGTGGAGTAAATCGTTGATAGAACAGTTTTGAGCAATTTTGTTTTTCGATTTTTTAAAATCATCGGTTTTGCGGTACATTTACCTATGATGATAGGTGCAAGTGCAACCTTTGAGACAGGTTTGCCAGAGAAGAACTTTGTCCAAGAGGTAAGAAGAACCAAAATACCATGGCAAGCATGTGTCAGGGTAGCTCCCATGCCCCGGCCTGCAGAGGTGGCTATCTCCATGAACGTCAACCCAGTCCACTTCACTCGACACTTGGCTCTGTCACAGAAGTACAATTTCTTTTTTTTCAGAATGGATTTGCAGGACATTTACAACATTGACAAAATTCCTGATATTGTAACCAATCGCGAAAAGCTTCATTGCAAAGCAAGCCTGTGTCTGAAATAGTTTTATTTACCTGGATGTGGTGAGTTGGTATCTACGTTTTGGCGGTTGCAGAAGAAGAGACAAGGAAACAAAAACCAGCAGGTAACAGAAGCACAGAACGACAGCGGCAACAAAGTAGAAAAAGCCTTCGGAGATGGCTATCGATCTCAGTCGGTCTGAAATCTCGAGAGCTTGTTCCAAGACAGAATCAGCAAGGGTCAGAGGAGGAGCTGTCCACAAGTTCAGATATGAGGCACCAAACTGATATGGGTTGATGGAGGGGCAGTTGTAGATCCACCAGATGCCAAGAGATGCCCCAGAGACGAGGGACATCATTAGGTAGGCCACACGGTGGCGTAGCACGTGTGGCTGCAGAGATGCGGATTTTGGAGAACTTCGAAGAACGTAGCGAGACGGTTTATGAATCTTGAAGTCTCCGTGCGGGCGGCTCACCTGTCGGTGGGAATGCGGCGAGAACGCCCAAGAAGCAATCCCAATGAAAGCCACTGTGACCAGACACCAAGTAAGTGGGTTGATCACCTCTGCTTGAACATCAGAATCCATCAAATAGACATTCAGCAACTGAGGGGCATCACAAATGACGTCCTGGAGCTGGTCAGTGGTGGGTTGCTGGTTACTTGTTGACGACACTGGGTCGAAGGGGCGAATACAATCCGCCCTTGTAGACGAGAATCCTTGGTGGAACTCGAACTTCTCATAATCGATAAGGTAGTCATCGGTGGCGTCACTGGCGGGGATGCCATCTGGCAGCCGAAATGTTACGATGGTTGGTGGGTGAGTCGGAGTTCTAGGGGCCTCTCTGAGCACGCAGCCAGATAGATGCAGACTGCTGTACCATGCTACGATGACTACGAGTAAGCGAAACAACTTGCGAACAACGGAATTCATTACTTCCGAAAAGACTGTCTTTTTTCAGTAGGCCTGCAGAAAAATCTCTTAAGATTGGGAGTGCTTCGCTTGACAACTTGATCACAAATTATCCATATGGAGTCTGAACGTATAGCGTTGTAACACTAAGTATTATGAACACTAAAAACAAACACTGATTTGCATGTGGAAACCAAAGAAACGCGCCATGACACACTGCAAACGTCACAGTGCGATCAATTGTCTTACGCGCACTACGCTTGCGTGAACTACTTATCATCGCTTGTGTGCACTGCTTTTGTGCTGCTAAGACCTTCCCTGTCTGCGCTACGCTCGATCCAACTTTTTGGTCAGACAAGGTATTCAGAGATCCTTTCTGAGTTTTGGGGCTTTTTTATGTTTTGAGGATTCCCCAGTATCGCTGAGTATCTCCCATCGTATACAGCACCTTGTCTTGTGCCACATCCCGAAAGTTTTCTTTTGTCTTTTCTAGGAAACAGTATACAATAAAGTCACCGGCATTCTGTCCAATGAAACGGTTTCTCATTTACCGAGGTTATAGAAATAGAAATAACCTCTTGATTTGGGCGTCTTTGGGGTTAAATCTTGTGTGACATACTATGACGCGTTGGTCCTGTCCTGTACCCTTTTCCAAAAGCCAAAGGCGTGTAACCCCATGCTAAGCCTTCATATTATGTCCACGGACGTATATATATATATAAACATCTGGACTTGCAACGCCTTTGTATGCATAATATGAAATAGAAGCCAACCAGCGGCCATTTTACCGAGCCGAATACAAATGCGCGAGTTGGTTCGCTTCTATTGACGCCAGGGAGAACAAAAGCGGGCATTTGACTCAAAATTTGAATTAGACACGGCAAAAATTCGACGTTTGAAGCGGCCCTTAAATGGCCGCTAGTGGATTCAATGATCTCTATAAGCTGATTACGGACATTCGGAGTCCAGATTTACTTTTGTATACGTCCGTGATTATGCACTTACGGATCGCACAGCGCCATCTAGCGTCGACACAATTTGTGAAAAATGCTGTGTTGAATATTTTTTCAATTAACCTGACATTTTCAAGAATCTCAAGAATCAGTATGAATACTATATTTATTTGAACAGATAAGTAATCAACCTACATAGCGGTAGATTCCGGCCGACACTTCTGTCAACGGCCAATTGACCTTAGGGTCAAGCATCGCGCTCTGTCGGTAACTTCGTCAGTGATCGCAGAAACATCTCAAGGTTGCTAATTGGTTGTCAAAGATCGAAACAATTATGGTAATGAGATAGAGAAAACTGACGCGGACGGACAGTCGTTTCCCAAGTTTTGTTGTTTCGTCCAGCTGTTCATGGAATGACGAGTGAAATTTCTGTCACTTCAATTTCACATTTTTACTGACTTTTTAAGATTACTTTTTAAACCTTTTTTTTTTTACCTTTTTACCTTCATCAATAAATTTTGTGGTGACATTAAATGACAGCAAAATGCGATCCTTTCATTTATTTGTTAAGCAAGGCAGGATTCGGAACACTAAACTGTGAATTTGTTTTCTAAAGAACTACAACTTTAAGACTTGAAGGTTTTCATGGTGAAAGTAACTAGAAGAGTAAAGTGATTGCGGTTGCACCATGTATCAATCTCTTTCTTGAGTCTGTGTGGTTCTAAGAAGAACCGGGGAATAACTCGACCTTTCGAACAGTGTACTCTGTCCGTCTTCAGGAGACAAATTTAACTTGTATAGCATGAGATTTTTATGGATAAAAATGTGTCTCCTTGTATTTGAAGGATGTAAATTCAAAAGGGGTTCATAGCACAAGATCTAAACCTTGAACAGATCCAAAAAGATGCCAGAAAGGAATATATGAACTTGTATTAATCTTATTCAATTCGAAGTGATAATTTTCAATGGTTTTGAAGTTGTTTGCAACTAATAACCGAAAAAATGCTAATTCAGTGGAATTCAGTGAATTTATTATATTTAATTCAAATTCAGTTTAATATGCAAGGTAAAATCACATGTTTACATACATGCATGTATTTTTCAACTTCCACGGGAATTTAAAACAAAAAGGCGCTCTCAAAAACGGTCCCGCCCATTCCTTCTCGCGGTGAAGAAAAACACAATAAATCGTTAGGGTCAGTTCTAGGCCTCCTTATCCATCCCTCACGGCAGAAGGTTATTAGTAGGCAGCCACTTGAAACACGCTCTCCTCGTACTTGAAGGGTCTGAACAATGTGCGGAGGCAGGTCACCGACGCGTAGAGTAGACCTCGGCGGGCCTCTAGACCGACCTGCCCAGCAGCACTTGAGGTACGTCCCCTAGACGTTCTTACGTTTCCCGTCGCGCTTCACGATAAATGAGAGAGAGGAAAATAATTGAAGTAGTGCTTAGTAAATTCATACGGTCATCTATCAGTAAATTCCAGTGACCTACTGTGCCCCCCACGGAAATCCACGCCCCTCCAGATGTCTCTCCATTCGAAATTTTGTATCATGCGTATGTGTATCCACAATGCATGTAGCCTTCAGTACACCTTGAAAAAGCGTGCATCCCCAGATGCCCCCCCCCAAATTTCACCATAGCCACGCCATTGGTAGACCGTCACTTGCCATGTGTGCAGACGGGTGAGTTGTGTGCACAAGCTCTCGTTGGTTACACACCAGCTGCTTGGATTTACTTTGCAGTCCGCCTCAGTTTGTGTCTAACAGCATTACCAGCGAAATCGGTTGTTGGAAATCGTTTAATTAACTGAGGACGGATACAGGAAGGATACAGCCCAGCAGTTGATTATGAAAATTGGAATCCGGCTGAGTAATGTATCATCATTGTCAGGGGACTCACTGCGCGCATAAAGACTGGACAGGAAACACAAGATCTGCTTCCCTGAATCTTCTGTCCAGTGTTGGCGGTCATAAAGGGCCTGTACTGGGGGCCTTGTGGACAAACGAGGATGAACAACTCAACTGACCAGACACGGCGAGAACAGATTTTGGAGCGAGGAGGGCCCATGCAGCAGTTTGTGATTGCACCTATCGTCAACATCGCCAATGAAAAATGCTGTCACACTGCACGCATGGCCTGTTATCAAAAAGGCAATAATCTACAGTTGGAAAATACAGATGCCATTGAGTGAATTCGCTGATAATATGTTTAAGCAGGCTTGATGCCTGCAGCTTATACCTGCACATGACAATAAGGAAGTACTTGCCGCACAAAACAGAAGCGAAGTATGGATATTCCATGACGAACGATACCACATGATAATTTCGTCTGTAACCAGGTATTAAACAACTTCATTTACAGCTCGTATTACAGAAGTAAACTCACGACTCCAAAGGGTTAAGAAAAATATTCCTTCTTCTTCCGAGGAGCTAACAAGGATCCCACACGGAGCTGCTCCGCGTAAGCACCATACGTACTCAAGCCCATCGAAATTTGCTACCAGAATCGTCAATAATAGGAAAAAGAAAACATCTAGCCTGGAAGCGATACGAGCGCGTGTCACAGTCAGGTCACCCTCCTGGGAATAGACAAGAGTTTTCTCGCCGGTTGGAGTTAGTCCTTTGCCTGAGCTGTAGCCTACTCGTGTAAAATGCTACCAAGCCTGAAACCGAACTGTAAGTTGAGTACGGTGTATTAGCTCACGTGTTTACTGCAGTGTAGTACCGTGGCTGACTTGCCAACCATCGCCAGCAGGGCCCGTAGACTATTCACATTAATTTACGCGTGCTTCCTTCGTAAATACCAGCATGTAATGCGCTCTACAACCAGAACTGTCTAAGCTCGTGATCACGAAGGATTCGTATTTCATATTGGTGTGCAGATGGATTGTCTATTACTGGAGTGAACTTCCAGTTAATTCCGTTCTAATAGGCCCATACAGTTTCTGTCTTGAAAAAAAAAACATAAATCGCAGTGCAACTGGCTCATGGGTGTATACATGGAGTAGTTTAGTACAGCGCTGAAGACACAGGAATTACTGTGAGGCGTTCTGTCAATATGACGTACCGATAGGAGCCCGCTGGCGCTGGCGGGAAACGGGTAGGAACGTGATACTATTTAACGAGTATTTCCGATCATGTAAAGAGGCTAGTAGAGTGATGCAGCGGCGCCGAGTCAGATATCGCACCTACCCTAGTCCCTCCCTCGACTTGGAAGAAGACGAGGATCTGGAACTCATGACCTGCCGCCATATCACCTTCCCACCCGATGTCCGCCTCCAGTCGGCTGTTCAGCAGCAGGACAACGCCGAGCTGGCCAAGATTTTGAACCAGCACGGGGCTAAGCTCGACCTGGACTCCTGCAGTCACGTCGGGCTGACCGCCCTCCACCAGGGTGTCCTGAACCGCAACCTGGACACCGTCAAGTTGTTACTGTGCCAGGGGGCCAACGCCAACGTCCAGGACGTGCATGGCTACTCCCCGCTTCACACCGCCTCCGCCTGCGGACTCCGCAACATTGCCAGCTTGCTCATCATTTTCGGGGCCGACCTGTGGACGAGGACGCTGGCCGGAGAATCACCCTTGGACCTGGCCAAGGACTTGGTCACCGCTGACCTCCTCATGACCGAGATGTGCCGGCAAATCCAGCACCAGGAACTGATGGAGAGGTACGGTTTTGCCTTCAGGTTCATCGACTTGTGCGAACGAGTTCGGGCCCACTGCTGCATGGCGTGGCAGAAGGTCACGGAATGGGTTCAACATTTGCTTAAAAAGTATTGCAATTTTCCCGATTATTCGACACAAAATGGTAAAGTAAGAGCCCCCGGAACAGGGCGCAAAGACAATATGAAGGCTGAGTAATGAAGGTCCTAGATTTTGCGTGCTTTCAGTCTGTGTGTTTTGTTGACGATACAATCTAAAGGGCATCGTTGTAGAAAAAAAAATCACTTTAAAATTTGTGAGAAGAGAAGGCTTCGCTCAATATACCAAGCAAAAAATTTATGTAACTCCGACTGAACTGTGGATCATATAATTACTAGTGGAGGGTTTGACATCACTGGAGATTCGTAATCTTACCACCAAAAAGGCAAGTGTTGCATTAACCCCAACAGTCCTCAATCCTCCAATTTCAAATAGGAATTTACGTATGCACCGATGGAGGTAAGGTTTATATTTTGTAAGTCTGAACTAGAGCTCAGATCATGAATTTGGAAAAAAACCCAGCTTTTATACGCATTTGGATTTCTGAGTAATCCCTGGAAGCATATTTGATAACCGGGCCTCGATTCAGTGGATGGATGTTCAGCAGTTGCTTAGGTAATTATTCTTTCCATGATGCCGGAAAGGGAGTGTTTTGTCAAGCTTCACTATTCAACGGCAAAGTTAATCAAGTATACAGTGCGGGAAGTGCTCTCTACGAGCCTGCAAGTAACAAATTCCCATACAGTCGTCGTTCAATAGTTGCTTTTTTTTGCGCTCAGATGGAATGAATAATTTGAAGCTTCAGGCACAAACTGAATCTTGTTTTGCACAATGGTGCATTACAATTTATGATGCCTGCAGATTGTTTTGTCGTACACGCATAAAACTTAGCTATAGAGACCTGATGATTGCAATGTGTACCTGTTTATCTGCTGCTTGTGTCACAGCAATGACGCATGAACATGAAACCGGGGTCCTGCCTCAGTATGGTGCCGAGTTCACAATAAACTGTGTAAACTGTGTAACCGAGGTCTTTGATACATAATGAACAAAATCACATGCACTTTAGTTATCGTGAACTCAGCGAGTATCCTGATGCATGTTTCTGGACTGTTCCCCTGCAATTTATCCGTGCAGGAGCCATATGAAAAGAAGGAGAAAGGACCGATCACAGATTTAGCGTTCGTTTAAACCATGTGTTCATTTTCTCTTGAGTATTATCTGGTGTACTTATGTTCTCCTTCCCAATGTTTACGTGAGCTGCGAGACAAAGCTGAGTATATCAGCATGGCCCTACCTCGCAAGATAAATGGTTGCAGGTCACGAGTTGGACAAACCACGGAGGAGCGTTTTCTTATTGCTCCATGGACAAACTGAGGTCACTGTGTGTTTTCAGTGAGAGGAAACGAATTAATTCGAGACAGAGTAGGTCACTAGGGACTGTCAAGCTTCGTGCGTGTGGTTTTTGTGGTGTGTTTAACCCTGCCTTACGATATATGGACGTATACATTCAATAGACATTTAAATTAAGACACGGTGACACTAATTGTTTGATTGATCATAATTTTGTAAACAATCCACTTCGGTTGGACCCCATTCTCAATAACCAGGCAATTTTTGTTCCCGATTTGGAAATTCTTCACACTGAGACAACGGAAAGAATCTGATGAATCACCGTTATTCGGGAGATGTCATCCCTTGAGTCTTACCTGTCTTTCTGGTTCAGGCTAGTAATGATGACTTTATAGTACGGGACTTGGGAACCACGTGCTTGATCAAGACCAGACGTGGCTCTGTTTGGCGGACGACTGGTATTATCTTATTGGTTGAAGCCCCCATCGGCAGCCAATTAGGCCTACTTGACCCCTGTTTAAACCATTTTGATTGGCTGACGGCATACATCAGGCAGAACTAAAAAGGAATACTGCTCATGCACCATCCACTTATTGAAATAGTGTCTTTACAAATAGAATAAAAGTAGACATACACCGAGAAATAAACTCCCTCTTCGATACCACAACTTGTTAATAGTACACGGGCAGGGGCGTAAATTTTTGGGTACAAGGCGGTGCTGAGAACGTAACAATTATAGCACTCACACACTTTTTCACGGTGGGCAAGTAAGGATCGTGCCCACACTTCTTGGTGTAAAAGAAAAAAATGCAGAAGGTTACTAATGCACTATGGACCTTTCCAGTTTTTCCTGTGTGCAGCCAATTAATCATGTCTTCTGATTTACTATCACTGTTTGGATTTCCGATTGTGGTCGTCCCCACCCTTTATTTTGTCGGCACGGATTGAGTCGAGAACAGACATTGGTATGATCAGGTATCTTGATTGGTTAGAATCAGCCGTCCGTCATAAAACGGCTATGAGGGGAAAATGGGACAATACTGGTGACCCGGTGAGTTGCAGGTTATGGCACGAAAGTGGCGCTGTCCTTCGATGTCTAATGAAAATTAAGGTTGGAATGACATTTAAACTCAAACACAGTCATTGTGGATTCTGAACTCACACTGTTCTTTTGTGATTTTTCATTGCTCAACCAGTCAACCCGGTCTGGGAGTCCGTCAGTTTTCGTAGAGTGACGATATCTCTAACGTAACCTGGCATTCATTATACATGTACAAAGGTTTCGCATCGAATAGCGCGGCTCCATCACCGACCGATCGGATACAGCTCGAGTCCCACCAAAACTTGGCCACGACAAATCCCCTATTTGTCAAATATCATGCTGTTTATCCGAAAAGAAGTTGATGACTTTTGTTTCCATATACACAGGACAAGTTTTAAGAACTCACTTGTCAACAAAAACTTCAGTAAGTATAATGAAGTTTGCACATAGTATGGAAATCACTTGAGTTGCACGTTAAGTGTACCCTGAATATTTTTGAAACTCCTCTCCGGCTGTTAAAAACCGGATATCCGCTGTAAAACCGAACAAAAAGTCAGAAGGATGTATCAGGCATGTTAAGTCAATTAGGGAATATATAGAAAAGTTTTTAAAGTGGTTACAGTCTCAAAGTGAAAGCAAAACCAAAACGAATATCCCTGAAGCAAACAAGAATGCTTTAAGTGATCCAGACGTGATCCTGTCTAAATGATTTGCTTTCATTCTGACTAAGTTCGACTGCCCGACTAAAGCGACTTAATCGCGAAGTCCCACGATAATTGCTACTGCAGTATGCGTGAATGTCGCACGAAGAGCTTCAGCGCTGTCTTGGTATCGTGAAAACCTGGATAAATCTCCGAACCTGACATCTTCAGGTGCGCGAATGAAGAAGACGTAATGATTTCAACACAGATTTGCCCTCCGCTATATTAGGCCCCACGCTGTTTTTTCCGGAGTCGGATGGCACGACAGGAAAAAATATCTGGGCGACATTTTTCTTCGGTGGGCTGAGAATGAGCCGGGCTAATGTAAACGAATGTGTCCGGCAAGTGAGGCTTTCAAGCGATGGCGCCGACGCTTTTAAGGAAGAAGTCGAAGAAATATGCTATCTGTCAGTGAACGGCATAATCATCTGCACGGTGGAACTCGTCTCAGCGTTGATTATAAGCGTGAAATTGCGATGCATGGAGATGACGTTGGGACAATTACCCCACATGCTTGGCGCGTGGTGTATCCGCTATTGTATGGAAGGCAGACAGCTCTGCGACGTCATGCGAGAAGTTGCAGTCCCACATCCTCCGATTTCAATATGATTTTACATACACCCTAGGGGGTTAGGGTTAAAGTCTGCCCACACCAACATTTTTGTATGGAGAAATGGTGGGTCCATGGTCGCACGAACCCGTCTCCTGGTCTCTTTCCCTACCTGTCGTTTTTAAATGCCTGCTGGCGTCACGTCCGTTGTCGTTTCATGCTTAGTATTTAGTGTTCGAAAATGTGACAGGTTTCGCCGCACGTTTCAAATGCCACGTCAGGAGTCAACCGAACTATTCAACTATTTACTGTAATCGTGTTGTAACCTTTTTCCCGAGGGTGAGAAGGGTATGTTTAGCTCGGAAACTCCGCCGGAAGGTTTGTTCGAAAACTTCCAACACTATTTTCCCTTTAAGACAGTGTGACGCACTAACATAATTGTGATCCGTGTCCTTGACTTACCGTATCGCAACACATTGTTAAATAATCAGATCATGCCATGTGCGATCGGTACAATTTGATTTACATTCTGACGACTACATAGTGATGAATGAATCTCGCACGCGCATGGCGAAATAAGCCTGGTGGAATTTTTCCCAGCAGGGGAAGGCTTTTAGTTTGTCTTTGCTGTATGGCCCCATTTGATGACATTCATAACCGCAGTTTCAGAAAGTCTCTTTTCAAAAGGGGAAAATTTATCCTCAACTGCATAGCCGCTCATCTCAGGAAATGCCTTCCGTTATAAAAATGGCAAAGATTGGCCGGGATTGGGGCCGTCTAGACCCCTGTAAAATCTCGCCTTGACATGTGCTCCAAGTTTTACTACTTACCAAAGTGCGAATTCAGCTTGAGCAGTATGGTCAAGTAATTATGCCCACTATAGGCCTACTGTGATCGCGTTGGGCTTTAGATGACGTAGCTTGCTGCCAGCGGACAGTTTGATATCAAACATTGACGTCCAGACAACAGGTGTAACAACACTACTGATGGTGTTCTTTAAACGTCTACACTGCCGACGAGGATGAAAGTGATTAATTTATGGAGGTCGATCCGGCGATTCATAGCTCCATGGGGTGATGATGGCGACTTATATAGCACAACATTACACTTTCGGCCCTGCGCTGAACCTGATAATGAAAACCAAAGTGTACTTATATTAAAACTGAAATTCAGCAAAAATACAATGTATGAGTTTGCATAATTAAAGCGTACGGGCAACCTTATTAACCGTGAGTATTGCATGGACGAGGTGTTACACTTTCCTCTTCAATACATCTTAAAATTCCAATGTGAGGATGGAGTTCTCCGCTTGTTGATGTTCCCGTAGAAACAGCAACTGTCCAACACGAATAACAGGCTGCGAAAAGGCCATGTTAATCACGAACGACTTTTGCAACTACATTAAAATAAAAGTCTACATGCTGTCGTAGTGATCATTTACCATTCAGAGTTGTGGTAAATGTCGTTGCTGTCCTGATTCAGGTGTACATGTACTTTTCCATTTAGAATCCTGAATGTTACTCTCATGTCTTGATGGTACACTGAAACAATTCTCAACGGAAGGACAAGGCAACCGGAACTTTTGCACTTACGCTAATTTTGTCAGATGAAGTGAATAAAATGCATGTTACATCCAACCGAGGAACAAGAACGATTAATGATGCATTCACTACATTACCCAAACGGAAATGTACAGAGAAAATTCCTCTGAGGAATTCCAGAAAAGGGACATCATTTTGCCCGCTGCAAAACTGACCAAAACACGTGATATTTATAAAAGTAAAATTCAGTTGCCTATCGGTAAACAATTTGAAATGGCAAAAGTGCATTTCATACAGTGGGCTAATTCCTAGGTTTTGCAATCATTCTTGAAAGGACCCCGAAGTCATTAAGAAGCCTGGCTGAGTGGATTCATTAGGCGTTTCTCGTTGTATTTAATCATATTTAAGCAAATGCTGCTGTTTCGGAGGATAGGACGCGGAGCTATGATTAGGGTGAAGTCAAGAAGCAAAAATCCCCGGGGGAAGGACGGGGATTGAACGACGAAGATTACTTGTTCAAGCTCAGATGTCGTCGGCCGCAGAAGTACCTAAAGCAGAGATGCAGGGGAGGGGGTGGGAAGGGTGCGTGTGGGTGTGTGTTGGGGGGGTGACTGCGAGGGGTATACAATACGGACTTCAGCTTATGCTGAGCATTTCGTGTGGGCAGGGGCGAATCCAAACAAAATTGTTTGGGTTTGCTTTTTTAGGGGGAGGGGAAATTTGGGGCTTTTTATTTAACCTTTTAACCTTTCTGAGGAGTGACACCAAATTAGGTCTTTTGGGGCTTTTACATGCGCTGATGGCGAATGATATACTCAATCTATCAATTTACAAACACTAAAATATTGCTTGACCCGTCTTTGGGCGTTGAGTACGGCACAGAACACCATCATCCTCTGTTTCTGAGATTAACTTGAAAAGAACAGTGTATGGGCCAAAATGTTCCCATATTGACCCTAAGAGTAAAACAGATTCGTTTGCTTTGAGATACAGCAGTTGCATGTTATCTTGGCAAAGGCAGTTTTCACTCGTGGTCTGCGTGCACACTATCCCGTTTGAATATTCCCAAAACAATTTATGCTCGAGGACGAAATCCGAGAGATCATATGGGCTTTATACCACTCTCCATTGGGACACTGAATGAAATTCCTCTGGCGACGACTGAGCAAAACTTCGTTCACGAGCCCATGCATAATGCCCTCCTTCCTTCCTTTTGGAATTCCAAGATACACACGCGCCCATTTCGCGCAATTAAAATGTTGTCACTCTTGACTCTGGATTGATCATATTAGCATCATTTCCACAACGGAGGCTAGCAATCAAATATTTTTGTTGTTTGACGGATGTGTTGAGTTGGAAAATCAGTGATGCAGAATTTAAAAAGAAATTGACATAAAATAAAGATGTCAAACATGTCTAATAATTTTCGCCTTATTTGAGACTTTTTATTTTGTTGAACCTAACTGTACTTTCATTTTGCAATAGCGGGTCCTAAACTGGGAAAATACAGACCTGGAAGTGTAGCCAATTATAATTTACATGTATATATGCTTGCATGTTATCAACAGACGGCGTTAGTTATCATAAACGAGCCATGCAAACATGAAATTGTAATCAGGCAACTGAATCTAAGCGGGGTAATATCCACTCTCTACATGTGTCCATTCTACTGAGCAAGGCGAATGTTTGCTTTGCTCGGCAAACCTCAATCTCAGCAATTACAACCGCCGAAGCCAGTCTCAACCTCCACTAAGGATGCTTTCTTGCCGCTCGTACATCAGGTATCCAGTGTACGTTTCAGGGAGGTACAGTTTTTTTTTCTCTTTTACCCGCCTGTATGGTTTCAATCATTCTAAAAGCGAGGCATCAGTGTGACATCCTGCTCCCAGACAGACCCTGGGTCGTTGTCTGGGCTAATGACCCTACCCGTCAGAGCTCTGAAGCCCACCGCTACCTAGTCGGTAACCGAAACGAGATCAGACCGAGTGACGTTGATTGCAATGGAACATGAGCTTGATCTTGGCGTGGTGTAAAACCGTGTCGCCATGGATCGATCTCGTCGAATATGGGCAGCAATTAAATACATGCTTCGTGCTTTTGCAATAATTACAAGTGCTTACACGGAGGCTGTTTTAGTTTTCAATGGTAATTAGCTTGACGAGTGGTTGGACCATAGAGCAAGGGTTTGACCTAGAAATGGGCGCGCAACTGGGACACACGTTTAATCAGGAATACGCGTATGTATGCAATGTAATGACCAAATTGTAGGTAATATGTAAAGGGTTCATAATGCGAACTGTACTTGGGAACAATATCTGACATTTCATTTTGATTTCTGTCGTTGACAGGAGCACATTTAAAAATTTGCCATGCTTTGCCCTACAAATGAGGGCGCACTTGTTTATATATATTTACATTAAACAGCTTAGCTTATTACGGTCATGACAGGGTGGGGTTTTTCTTTTCTTCAAATTGGGAACCAAACATTTGCGCACTGATTTATGAAGAAGACTTTGCTCACTTGCAAAATGTCATGAGCTAAAACGACATAACGCATCATGGATGTATGTAATTAAAAATTACACTTATGGCGAGTGGTTTGACCCAGAGGTGGCCGTGCCGAGATTATTACGTACCCCGGTTGCGCCACTGCTCTTATCTAAGGTACCACCCCCGCTGGGGGAATAACACAGGTTTATTATTTCTGGAAACGCTGAACGTTATAAGAACTTCATTGGAAAAAAAAATGAATATACCACAATGAACGGTGACAACGAACATATCACTGGATTTCGTGACATTTCTCTCCTAAAAAACAATTAATTGATAACTAATTAGAGAAACACAAATTCCGACTACCAAATTATCCTGGAAACAAGAATTACAATCAGTATCGAAATGATAACCACTGACAGTATTTAGTGTCCCTTTATAATGTCTCTGAAATTCAGAGCGTATCGATTCTTCATCGTTATCGAGTTTCGGTAATGCGGGAACTGTGATGGTCACATAGTATTACGGATTTCTCAGAAACTGAATTTTCCCCTTCGCGGGTAGATTCACCAGAGGCAGAAACTGCGCATGCCCGGGTTTTTAAATTCTTTGCAGGCATCTAACATTGTCTATATGCTTTGATTGGATTTAACTTTACCGTTGACAATTTTTAAATCGAATTCCAGGATCTTTGAATTACAGAAAAAAGCTTGTGAACGTGACATTGCACATACATGTAATCGTTTGGAAGGTCTAAAGGGACTTTGGATGCATTGTGAATAAAGTATTAGATTAATAAATACCACAACAATAAGGATAAATATGCAGTTAAAATCCGTGGCTCTGAAGTACAATGTAAAAGGAAGGTAATGTACGTGGAATAATTCGGTAATGATTCCTACCTGTGAAATAACCCACTTCTTTCCGATAACTGCATTGAGATTTTGTGATCATAAGTGTGTACAGCTCGTATAAAAACAAACCCAACCCCTCTTTTTAAAAGAACTTTCTAATATTAAGTACTGGTTCAAAGTTATATACAAAGCTGTATCTACAACACCGATCATCATCAGTCACTATCACCCATATCGATGTAAATCGATTCCGATTTTCGAAGAACTCGACGCCACCAAGGCACTGATACAGTGGGTTGGTACCCTGTCCCTTGTAAGGGATCCTCCCTTGGCATACACTGGCCATGAAGTAGCGGAGTCAGGGAACAATCTGATTCCCTCGACGAATCGTCACTCGAAGACGAGTGATCGCTGTCGATGTTGTTGTTCCGATTCTTCATTCGCGGTTTGTTCCCGCCCATCTTCTTGGCGCCTCTTGCAGATGTCACCTTGGTTGAAGCTGATTTGGTTTTCACAGATCTAGGCGATTTCTTAGCTGATGCAGGTGATTTTTTTGCTGATCCAAGAGATTTCTTAGTTGATCCAGGTGATTTCTTTGTAGATCTAGGAGATTTCCCAGTTGACCCGGATACTTTCTTTCCAGATCTTTGTGACGTCTTAGTTGACCCTGGAGATTTCTTGGTTGACCCTGCAGATTTCTTGGCTGACCCAGGAGATTTCTTGGTTGACCCTGCAGATTTCTTGGCTGACCCAGGAGATTTCTTGGCTGACCCGGGAGATTTCTTGGTTGACCCGGGAGATTTCTTGGTTGACCCGGGAGATTTCTTGGTTGACCCGGGAGATTTTTTGGTTGACCCGGGAGATTTCTTGGTTGACCCAGGAGATTTCTTGGTTGTCCCTGCAGATTTCTTGGCTGACCCAGGAGATTTCTTGGTTGACCCGGGAGATTTCTTGGTTGACCCGGGAGATTTTTTGGTTGACCCGGGAGATTTCTTGGTTGACCCAACAGATTTCGTGTCTTTCGACCCGGATTTATTTTCCGGCTTGGACTTCTCCGACTTGGACCTTTCGTCAGATTTCGACTTCTTGTCCGATTTGGATTCCTTGTCCGATTTCGATTTCTTCTCTGATTTCGACTTCTTGCCTGATTTCAATTTCTTCTGCGATTTCCTTTCTTTTGACTGCTCGCCTGTTTCTGCTCTCTGCGGCCCGTCGAGTCCATCCAAGGTACCCCCCACTGGCCAATTTTCGTAGATTGGTTCCTCAGCGTTCCAATCTGGTCCCTCAGGCTGGAAGTCGATTCCGAAGCTGTCGTCGGAGGCGACGGAAATGTCTCCCTCGGCCTCTTTGAGATCGGGCCATTTGGCGAAGGGAACATTAGCCAGAAGCCATCCGCGCGCTGTGCCTTCCGGATCGTCCGCATCGTAGGCGTTTCTGATAGATGTCTGAAGGTAGCGTAGCAGCAAGAAGATGACAGACTAAAAGTAAACGTAAAAAGAAAATTATGTATCCACAGTATCTGGGTGTTCGTCAATTAAATCAAAGCCAATGCCCATGGATATTCAATTAACATACATCTAATTATTAATTTGTTAACCAAACATGTCTCTAATCCGTTCTTTTGAAATGAAGTTTCTTTTTTTATTCATTTTACCGGAAACAAGCATTTTGGAGCGAATTCCCCCCTCGAGTCTTCGAGGAGGGTACAGGGCCGCTTTTAGGGTCAAGGGATCCTGAACTACAGCCCATAATTTTCTATGAATGTCAGCCGTCTGACTTACTTGCAGGATGAAAATCACCAATGTAATGGCTCCGATTCGGTTCAGCCTGATCGTGAAGTAGTCAATGAGGGCGTGCTTGCACCCTTGTTGGTGGAGGGTCAGTCCCTCGCGATAGTCGTAGTTGCGGTGTTTTTGGTTGTCGTGGACGTGGTGATGAATGCACGGCCGCAGCAGGTCGTGTCTGCAGCAACTGTACGGGACATCGTCGCTCAGGAACCCTCCGCTGGTCATCTTTCTGGAGTTAGAGGGGAGGGAGATGAGAAAGAATGTTGGAAAAAGTCATGGCGGTCGAATCAAACCTTGTTGGGTGAATAATTGGAAACGATGTTTCAGTGATTCCGTCTTTACCGTGCATTAATGAGTAGTCGATGGATCTATTCCATGGTCTCATCTGTGGAAAAACACTTGATCAACTTTCATTGCCCGAAAGTAAGTCTTAACAAGCGGTCTAACAAGCAAAGAGCGGACGCCAGTCCCAAGTTTAAAATAACTATATACTTTGCATGGCACTTTGGTTGGTAACCTGTTTTGCTAAGAAAATATTTCTGTGCTTAACTGCCCAGTCAAATGGTCCTCTGAAAACAAAACAAATCTCTGAACCGTGGACAATCGTGACCCCAATGGAACGAAGCATTGCTTCACCTTTGTACAATCTCGTTTGTCTTGTCCAGGTAATCGTCTGCGATCCATTGCAAAGCAAACCAGTCTTCATAGCCCTCGTTCCCACAACACTCAAACTCCACCTGCAACTGGTTGATCTCACGCTTTACCGCTTCCTTGTCCTGGGTAAAAGTCAAACATATGAACCAAGTCATGTTATCTCTGTCTTGCATATACAAAAAATCTGATTTTGTACTAAATAAAAATTGCATTAAAGCAGCTCATCACATGTTCAATTATCGTATGCTTTTTGTACTTTTGGTATAAGTACATGAATATTTTATAGACTAACATGTACATGTACAAGACATTGAACCAGAATGCATTCAGTTCATCTAAGTTTGGACTGAAATTTTGGGTTACTAATATTTTGTATATAAAATAAGTATGCCAGAACATTTGAAAGAAATAAATCGACCCTGAGAAGCCACTAGGCCTGGCACTACAGGTTTGACGACGATGGTGGACAAACATCGTGTGAGAGGGAATCACCTTGTAGTTTTTCATAGCCTTGATCAGTCCACGGTGGAACGAATGATGGAGATGCAATCGGTGGGAGAAACACATGCATCCTGCTACGAAGATGCAGACGTTGAGCGCGAGGAAGAGAAAGAGGTAGGGAAGGAGGAGGGCCCTCAGCCTTTCCCTGCATGGGAAAAAGGTTGATCTTAGTGACAGGATGTGTCAGTATTGATGCAAATTTAAGGTCGGTTTTACCTATCGATTTTTCATTGCCACGCTATAAAACGCAGTTTTTCAGCGACGAAATTTTGGCAGATTGTAATACAAAAGAAAAAAACCAATGCAGCTGTAAAAACAGAAAACAGAAAGTACTACATGTGTCATTCTAAATACTTAATGAAATTAACCTCATTTTTGAGACTAAGTTTGCAGAAATCAACCAGTTGCAAGGGTCAACTTTCCCCAATTTTTTGGTCGCTCATACAAATTGGCAATGAGAGGAAGGTTGAAAAGTTGCTTGCAACTCAGTTTCAGTCGGAGAAAAACTAGGCCTACTCGATTCTTTTTTTCCCGAGCAAAACTCCACTGGAATACAACTCCAATTTTGAGCACTGCGATTAGTTTGTATTTCATGTCTGTACACTGTCACTTCCTAAGCGTCTATTCTGTTTCAGGATCGACTTTTGACAGACTCAGTTTGTGCAAGTGGTATTCGATTCCGAATACCGAGTCTGTGCAGCGGAAGTTGGGAAAAATAGGTTGAAGCCGAATCGGCCACGGCGCTTTTCACTCTACCTCCTAGAGATGTCGGCAACCTTTTGGCAAAGCTGTCCCCCAGCCAAGTCGATGACAGTGGTGATGACGCCGATGGTGATCAGCATCCAAGGCAGGGAGTTTCCGTTGTACCCCTCCACAAGATTCACCTGTCAAAAGGTAAATGCAGTCAACTGATTTAAAACAGATAGTTCGGGGGTTCGTGGGATTAGAGACGCTCTACAGATTGAGCGGAAGTCTATCCGGCAAAATGGCGTGACTTCTTTTTAGAATCTGTGAATAATAGTTGTCATGACTACTGCCCTGAGGATATAATTGGGAAGGGGATAGGCTATAGCAGTTAGCCAAAACCTTACGTTACACCTGCACAAAGAGAACAGCCCGAACCAAGTTCTTATCAGTAGGCCTGAGGTCAGAATTGAGAATCTTCAGCTCTGTGGGCGTAAAAGGAAGACTTCCCGAGGGAGAAAACGTAGGTTATGTTGGACCATGGTCCGTGGTTGGACTGATGAACAACATGTAGTCCTTGGCCTAAGGTGTGGGACTAGCTTATAAAATTTCAAGGACGCTACCTACTGGGCTATTTTTCTTGTTTAAGTGTCAAAAATACTGTAGTTTGCATCATTTGAACCTTGAAGACGATAAAAGGGTGTCATTGGGAAGTTATGGCCTACCTTGTCCTGTATGCGTATCTTGATGTAAAGTCCAATCGAGATGAGAGACAATCCACACAGGGCAGACATCCAATGTACAACCCATAGAATAGTGCAAAGCTTTTGCCGTCTATTCTCGCTGATTTGAATTGGCAAAACTGCCATGTTAAAGTACTCTCGTAGTGTCACATGTTCCTCTAATATTTTCTGCCAACCTTTATAAGCAAAGCCACAAAATTATATAATTGTAGTAAATATGCATTAGGCCTAGACTTATTCCCAATACGAAATGTCTTCCATCTTGTTTGAAAATGAAAATGATACGCGCGAGCAGTGACACGCACAAGACAGCAGAAAATTCAAATTAAATGCGCGTTATGCGCGAGCGTATGTTGTACGCGGTTGTAATTTGAAAATGTGACAGCTGGAAGATATAATGGTCAGCGCAGCGAACTGGTCCCAACTTGCGCTAACTTTGCTGGAAAGCGACGACGTGCAAATTTATTTGTTTCGTTTATCTAGTGTTGCCACTTTTCCTACATCCCAGACCTGCGAAACACGTTTGGCTTAAAGCTCTTAAGGCTAAGAACTGGCGAATTCAGTCCTTATCTTGATTCCGCAGTACACAGCAACTGATCCTGCAGAATCCCTGTAGACCTAGGCCCAGAGCGATCGCAGGGTTGGACGTCGAGGAACTGTTAGTGTTATGGCCCTTTTGCCGATTCAAATCACCGAGCCCAATCGACGGAGGCTGAGCACCCTGCTTTGGATTGTGCACTGGATATGTGCCATTTGTGGGCTGACTGTCATATCGATTGGAGTGTACATCAGGATTCGTATACGGGACAAGGTAGGCCTGATTCTCTGGTTGTTATGAAGCAAGGCGTGGCTAAAACTCTTACAAAGCGAGGATCTAAAACCATTCACATGTCTAAAGTGAATCCTGCCAGTTCACATGTAACCTCTTTCCCTGCAAAGGTTAATTTGATTGAGGGGTACGACGGGAAAGCCCTGCCCTTGATGCTGATCATTGTAGGGGGCATCACAACCGTCATCGACCTGGTTGGTGGAAAGCTATGCGAAAGGATAGCTGATTTATCTCAAAGGTAGGCTGGGCCTAACCATATCTCATTTCATCTCGATTCAACGACTGCCTTTTCTTTTATTCGAAGAACAGACTCTATCTAACCTTTACAATTTCAACATTAGGCCTAAGCATCAGCTTCCTTTCAAAGAGATAAGGTTGCATTAGGACAACAGTCCTTATTTTTCAGGACAATTCTGACGTCACATTTTTGTTTCACTCAGTTTTGAAACTTATTACAAGCCTTTTTTTCACTCAACCGAAGGGCTGAGGTTTGTTACTAGAAAATGTAGAATTCTTATCAGTTTTGGCTGTATTATGCCAACCTATACCTACAGGAACAAGCTTCTAAAAGTAAGGACTGCCATTCAGACAATCAATCTGAGGGCAAAAGTAATTTGGACGACAATAATATTGCCGATTGTTCGGTGGCGAATACACTTAACGCAATCCCTATCTCTGCTTCTCCACTATTCGATTTCTATGTTTTCCTTTCTCCACTCCTCTTTTTGTTCGGCAGGGAAAAATTGAAGTCCTTCCTTCTTCCCTACCTCCTTGTCTTTCTCGTTCTCAATGTCTGCATCTTCGTGGCAGGATGTATGTGTTTTTCCCATCGTTTTCACCTCCATGAATCTTTTGATCGTGGATTGGTGAAGGCCATGGAGCAGTACAAGGTTTGTATTACAAATAGGCCTAATATTACAGAGCCCACCACAATTTGGGTCAATCCTCAGGAATACCAATTCTTTGTTATTTTAGTTCGAAGTCTATGCTCGGATTCGTTTCACTGCATCAAAGATTCTAGGTCAGAGAAAGGCCCTATATACTGGCAAAACTGACTTTTGAGAAATTGTCTGTAGATGGTAATTTCATTTCTGAAACACAACAAAACATTGAAGAATCCTCTAATTTGTAAGAGGTGGCCGTAAATTTTTTGCCAGCGAGGCCTTCCAAGATAGGCCTGCGGTGTTAGGTCCACTACTTGTCTTGTTTTTAACACAGAACTTACATCTTGTATGTGCATGAATTTGCTAAATTCCAGAACAATGAAACAGTGAAATATGAGATCAACCAGCTTCAGATTGACTTTGAATGCTGTGGAAATAACGGCTACGAGGACTGGTTTGCGGTGCAGTGGATCGGGATAGAGTATCTGAGCAACGATCTTGCAGGGTAAAAACACAAGCTCCTGGTAGGTTGATGACAGATCGCCTATGGTATTTCGAGCCCAAGGCTTCGGTTCGTCAGCTGTAAGCGCGCCACAACAGTTAGAGACAGCCGCAGATAAAATGTCCGTCCCTCGACACGGCTTACAAAAGGTACCAAATTGCACTCTATTGTAGGAAACGCGCTGCCAGTGTATTTCAAGAAAATCGGAAGCCTGGCCATCTCACGGCCCTGCCAAGAAAATCACAAAACAATTTCTCTAACCGCGCGATTTTCTCTTTATCGTCAGAACGATGACGGGCGGGCAGTACTTGAACGATGACGCTCCATACAGCTGTTGTAAATCCGGGATGCTACGGCCTTGCATCCACCACCACGTCCACGACAACGACAGACACTACAACTACGACTACCGCGAGGGACTGACGCTCTACCAACGAGGTTGTAAGCACGCCCTCATGGACTACTTCACGACCAGGCTGAACCGAATCGGGTCAATCATCCTGGTAGTATTTGTCTTAAAAGTAAGTCGAACAAACCATGGATCAGATTTTGCTCATAAAGTATAAACCATTTTTAATTTGGTCGATAGTTTAAATCACAACAGTCTTCATAAAGGGTGGATCCAAAAGCAAATTGTTTGGGGGATTTTTTTAGGGGGGTAGGCAAAAAACTTTGGAAATTTATGCTTAACATAATATTTTATGGCCTTTCTAAGGAGTGATGGAATGTATAGCTTTTCACACGCGTTTCGACGGAAGGAAAATAGAATAGACCCCCCAAATGCCCCATTCCCCTCATATTTCCCACACAAACTGACTCCCATCGGCCCCTGTATTAACGAGTTAGCTATAAACCTCACGCAGCATAACCCGACTTCTGTAAAAAATATTTCGCCTGTTATGAGCAGGTTGTTCCAGTAACACACTCATTTCATCTTCAATATTTCCATCGGCACAGTCTGTGATTTTCATAGTTCTGCGCTACCTTCAAACGTCCATCGAAAACGCTTACAAAGAAGACGACCCTGAGGGCACGGCACCCGGCTGGCTCCTTGAAAACATCCCCTATTTCACAAAGCAGCCTGATGCCGTCAAAGAAGAGGATAAGGAACCGATTTATGAGAATATACGGTAAACAACTCCTGACCCTTGGTCAAGAAAGACAGAGGAGTCAACGACCTCTCTTTTTTTTTACAGACTGACTGTGTTTGAGAGGTCCTAAACTGTCTTTAATATCTACGTTTTAAGGAGCCAGTTCTTAGTAAGCATTAGAATTTGGTTTCAAACTTAATGGCCATCTTTTGCAACAGAAACGTCATTGGGAATAATGAAAGTTTTGCAGGGCTTACACGTCAGCAGCCTTCCCATATTACCTGCCAATGCCATATTCAGGCGGCCGGAATGCTTACTTGCGAGAGATTTTGGGGAGGGGACTTAGTACCTACAGGCTCACGAATAGCCAATACATATTAGATGCAGAGCAAAGCAGACTAAAACTTGTCAGTAGAAAGTTTCTGCACAGCTCATTTAAGCGCTAGCCAAATTCAGGGGAGAGATACCGAGGAGAACATATTGCTCAGCCAATATGTGTAGGGAGCAAAAGTAAACTGTGAACCAGTCACAACATTTTGACTGGTAACTCGCCTTTGCTAATCAGAAATTTCCTTGCTTAGCAGATTTATGAGCTCAGCAGCTGCACGGAACACGCCATTTGTGCCTGTCGGACCAGCAATCGGTCTCGATCTCGCAGAAACGAGAAACGAGAAAAGGCGAGGAAAATAATTTTGTTATTGACAGGGAGTGAGCATCACGGTAATCTTTGAGTGGGTTCGGTGAACTGTAAGGTAGAAAAAAAGAGCAAAGGAAGCTGTTGATTGATTGATTTTAATGTGAACCGTGCAAATAGTTGTGGCGAGACTTGATAGAAATAGCCGGTGGCGAGTGATTTTGATATTTGCTGTTTTCATTCTGTGAAGAACGAAGACAGAATAGGCTGTCACGTCTGATTTAAACTACATGTAGAAAATAAAAAATGAAATGAAAACAATCATCAAGAGTTCATGCCCCCAATCAACAGTTCGTTCGTGAACTTGGAACAATGATATTAATTACAAATGGAAGCATAACAATATTCATGATAGTATGATGATTAAGCATGGTTGTAGGTAATTTGGTTTGGACAATAATCTGACTGACAAAATGCACATTTACCTGCAAGGAACGAAGACAATGTGTCATCACGTCTTCGACCAAATAAACAGGTCAAAAGTGCTCGAAATGAAGAAACGAATGAGGATTTAAGCAATCCGCACTAAGGGGATAAAAGAGTAAGGGGTTACAAATCCTTCAGTGGCGTAGCGAGGAGATTTTCTTTGGGGTGTGCCCGAGTCAAATTTGCCGACTTGTAACTTGTTTGCCAACCTCGTGTCTAGTAAAATTCACAAAGTGATCCATGGTACGCTACCGTGCTTCAGGGGAAATGCCGACAGTCAACGCATATCGTTTATGTACTAATTTTGGATTCATTTGCCGACCAAATCCCCATTTGCCGACTGGAATTAATGTGAGGGGGTACCGTACCCCCCCCCCCCACACACACAACCCGGTCGCTACGTCCCTGATTACATGACTGAGCAAAGCTAAAGGTGACTCCTAAAAAGAATCGGACATTTTCACGATTGTTAACATGCTTAGAAAAACACTGATTGGGTGACTGGGTAATCAATTACAAGGTTACAGGACTTATACAAAAATCAAAGCTTTGCGAGACCATGAAGGAAGGACACAGAAGGAGTTACAACTCTGGTGCATCAAAGTGCTTGATGATCATCGCCACCTGGTCAGACGAACAATAGTAAACATTCCAAAAATGCCTGATTACTGCCTACAGCTTAGCTGAACCAATGGGGCCACTTACATTGTAGCAATATTTGTGGTGTTTTCTTTGCAATAAACTGCAACTTTTCGCAGTGACCAGGAAAAAGAAAGAAACATATCTAACATTAGATTTATTTTTTGCCGTCACGAATAATTTATCTTAAAGATTTTGATTCACTTTTCCATTATCCATGCAATGTTTGTAATATTATTTTTGCACTCCAAAATATCAGTTTTCAAAGTCTTTGTACGAATTTGGCTAAGGCTAACCACCAACATGTTGACCACCACGTCACAGGACAGTTAAGTTCACGAAAAACAAAATGCGCTGTTTCATCACAAGGAGTGACCATGGGATCTCATAAAATACCATTTTGTGTAAATTCCGTAATAAAAATGATTCAAATCAAACGTAATCTTATAAAAACTTGGCTATTTATAAGATAAGGGCAATAACTGCATATGAACACGTGGAACACAGCCAACGAGCAACTGCGCAAACATTAAATTTGATGTTGTCAGATCATACCAAGCACCAACGATGGCCTGAATATGGTTGTCAAACAGGTTCATAGCAAGCCTTAGCTGCGCTCTGGCTATGGCCATACCAGGCATACCAGAAAGCGGTAATTGGCCGGATGTTGTAGCCTGGGCAGTTCAATCTCTTTCTCTTTCCTCCATGGCGATACCAAATCTCGTTAGAGGTTTTCTAATGGTTCGAATATGAGCAATGAGCCTCGTAGTGAGCGAAATTGAACGGCAGTTATCTGAGGAACACTTATCTCTGGCAAGAAATCCATGTTGCACGGCTGTAGGGGCCTATGTAATACTGAAATACCATTGACTGAAATCACTGCCCTCCATCACATCAATCAAAGGCGATAGATTCCCAGGCTTTTTAAACAGTGATGAGAAAGGTTGACACTGGTTCCCTCCACACATTTCAATTGAGGGATCTGGAACCAGTACTTGGTTTCACTTTTCCGAACAAAATGGAATGACCAAAACGCCATCCAGATTTTTATTTTTCATTGGGGATCAGATATTTTGCGCACTTTACTCAGGTTAGGCTTAGAGCTTACCCGAGCCAAAGCTCGGATAAGCTCTATGGCCTTCAGTCAAGACTACAACGCCCAATTTTAATTACTTTCATTACTTCAACATTAAAAATAATGTTATGAGGTAACAAATCACATGGACACAATAATTGACAACCGTGGTTTGAACATTAAACCTATTTTGTATTAACCATTTACCTTGATTTACTACTCCAAACAGCCCTATCTCTGTGTTTTCGTCATACTCCAAAACAGATCAACGAAATATAAAGGGGATCACTGGAAACAATGTTTCACAAGTAAAGGAAATGAAATAGAAGGTTAAAAATAGGTTGAAAGACGTAATTGGCACTACAAACTACTTGGGTAACATTAACATTGCAGCATCGTGTAGAATCTTACAATCTCACATAAAAATTTGGGAACAAGATCGTCATACGTAAGAAAAGGCAACCACTGTTCAGATTGAAAAACATGGGTGCTTTGAGTGATCTTGTATGCTGGTCGTTCGATACGGTTGGGTAGCCATTGGTAGCGCACCGTGCCTTCCTGAGTCACAACTTGGGGCTCGCCAACCTCCCACATCTCGATCTCTTCCTTGTCGTCTTCAAAGTCATCGTCCCGGGGGTCACTGTTGTAGCGGCTCCACCAAGTGGTGCGGCTCAACTGCCGAGAATTAATTTACCAAATGACACAATATCTCTTGGTAGATGACAGAGTGGCGTTATAAATTGAACTTCTTAAAATCAGACAAATCAAGTCTATTGACTCGTCTTTTCGAGAGCACACTCTTCCTGAAGATTGACAGAGAATACTGTTCAAAAGGTTACCAGCATTCTTCAGACCATCGGTATCCCATTTCTACTTCAACTTTCCAAGCCTTTTATTCATGGAAAAGTTACGTCTCTGTAAAACAAGCATTTGGAATGAAAGAAAGTGATATTGGCCCCATGTAAATGGGCTCTTCTCTCATTTTTTTCCACTAAAAAATACAAAATAAAAATTGCTCTTGTTGTGTGTGGGGAATGGTCCTCGTTCCTCCCACCACAGATCCGCCAATGAGTGGGACAGTGCTCGATAAAATCACCTCGAGATGTAAAGTGTTTTAGGCCCACATACATACCAACATCCCTGAGATTTCAGAAACACAAATGAAATTATTGTCTCGCCGCTAATCTTTCAATTTCTTTACATTTTACATTTTTAATTATTCCCACAAAACAAAATCACGCCCCGAAAAGTGATTTTTCCGAAGTCTGATTGCAGCAATTTTTCAAGTGGCAACCCTCAACTTTCGCGGGCACTTAGGACCATTTTTTAATCGTAGTTTTTAGCCATTTTGCTCTCATATGAAAGCTCAAAGACCCAGGGAGTCGATCCTGGCAACAATTTACACAATCTCGACCATTTTGGGGGCCAAACAATCTCCTTTTACAAAAGATACTGGGGGAGGCACTTTAAATGCTAATGGCTGGTCAGAAATTCTCGCTTGAATAAGTGGACTGCACCTCAAATAGTATGAAGGAACCATAACACTCACACTGTGATGGGGTGGACCAATAACGTTATAGGGACCAATTCTGTCTGCTATCACGTGCCAGGAGTCGTCTAGTTTCAGCTAAGAGGATCAGCACCGCTACGCAGGTTAATATCTCGGCAGGCTGGAAGAACCTCTGACAGCAAATCAATAGCTGCAGTATGTAACAAACACCAAAATAAATGGAACACCGTTGCTATCGGTAACCCCACACCATCAGTTTCGTGTTGATTGGCGTTTTTCAGTTTCGCCGTTTCGTTCGATGACTTTACCGTTCAGTTGGGCAATTTCATTATTCGATCTGCTATTTTCGACATTCAATTTGCCAATTTTCATCATTCCATTCTGCAATTCATCATTAAATGTGGCAATTATATCATTCCCCTCGGCAGTCTTTCCCAACTGCCCTTAAACAGGGTGCCGGTGGTGGGAAGGGCAAATTGCGCTTCACGATTTTTGTGAAGGAAAGATTCTTGTGAGCTATTGACCTGCAATGCCGCAGTGGGTAACTCGATGCCCTTATCCACACATGCATTTCAGTGCACACGTGTCATAGAAGGAAGGGTTGACCCTGTGTTATTGTTCACTCTGATGAAGTAAGACTGGTGAAGTTTTTACGAACCCTATCCAATGAGTGCTCGACAAAAATTACATAATGTAAATATAACATGCTTTTCAGAAGAGAAAGAAAGTCCGACAGTTCAAATGGGAAAGCTTCTACGAAACGTGGAGACTAGTCTCCTCTCAATACTTACTGTTAATAACACCATTTTCCCATGAGAAAGTACATGTACGTGGGTGTACCATGTGGTGTTATGAAAAACGCGCGCGGGCAGACAAAGCTGAAAAGCATGACGGTAGAGGGCGCCAATTCATTGGATGAACTCAGGTTTTCGCACAAACACTTTCGGCGAGCAAATTTTGGTTCACAATTCACAATGAAAATGAACAGTATCTTCCGGTAACAGCATCACAGCAACAAAGCCCTGCATTATTAAGAAAGCAGGAAGAAAAGTTTAATAAGACTTCTTTTCAATGATAGTGGCTATACATGGATTCAGCGAATCTGTTGCTACGTACCAAAGAAGACAGGAAAAAAATTGAGATGTCATGTTTCGTCCAGTACAAAAAAACACCAAAAAATCACATCGTGGAGTCTTCACTGTCACTTCACATTTTATGAACCCCTGTTTTGACATGGCCAAGAATTGGAATGGATATTAAACTGGACGACGAATAGAGAAAACTTAGTGAAGAAAAATATGTAATATGAATTCAAATCACCTTTCAAATGTCAGGGATTGAGAACCGTTTGCGTTTAAGGGTTACAATTGTTCTTTATTATCAACGCCATTTTCATCGGCTATTTTTCTCACATTACTTTAAAAGTGTACATTTATTATAATTTGTTTTTAAAATTAAGATTGTTTTATATTAAAATCAACATGAATATCATAAATAACGGTTCATGAAATGTAAAGAGAAAAGTCAATGTGACTTTGCTTTTTAATTCAAGTATTCTTTCAAGTTCTCAATTGGACAACACTTCCAAACCTCAAATACAATTACATTATCTCCAAAAGCAAGAGAACTTGTAGCTGGTGTCATCAGCGAGCAGTAAACAAATAGGTATCTCATCATACCATCAATGCCTCTCTTGCTACATTAATGCTAAATATCGTAATGTGAACTCTGTAAATTATATGGCACAAAAATCATAAAGCAAGAGGGACTGAGCGATTTAAAATTAAAATGCGGTCCATGTGTATGTATCTCTGTGTCCAATTCAACCTTGTTTTCAAAATTTCATTTTGCAATTTTTATGGGCATATTTGTGTGGCGAGCGAGAGTGTGATGTTACAGCTATTTTGGCACTACAATATGGCCAAATTTTGTATACTTTGCTCAGTTAGTTGTCTTTTAAATGCAATTTGTTGCTTCTTCTCTACATGACAATAGGCCTGAGAGAAAAATTTTCTGTTACATATTTTCACTCCACAAATTTTCAGTTCATATTAAAGTTTGAAAGAAAAAACTCGCAAACAGAAAAGTGGGTTCTGAAGATGACCTCAAAGCTATCAGCTATCCAAATCAGTACTTTCATTTGTCAGGTAAAGCATAGAACATCTGAAAAGTGCAATTTTCAAGAACATTAACTAAAAATCTTTCTGTTGAGATTTAAGACATGTAGCTACACAAAAATGTACATCTAAGAAACAAAGTTGCTTTCCAACAAGTGGTGAATAGCTTAATGTTCATCTTAACTACCAGGAAACGACCCGCTTTTCTGGGGGTATGACACTCCAGTTTGGTGAAGCTTTGTCACTGGCTAGCCAGTTGAAGTCGTCCACGTCATCCCAGCTGTTACGGCTTCGATCAAGCTGGCTAGTCTGGAAGTCATCCTCTTGTCCATCATAACTCCAGTTGTATGGTGCAAATCCCACATCAGAAGTATCCTCAATGATTGCACGACTGGTGACGTGAAGGTAGAACTGGGTACTGGTAGTATGGTGTACTCGCAGCTGCTGACAAGACACCACAATAGTACAATCTTGGCAATTATCCACAAATATAGAGCCAGGAACAGGACCCGAAAAGATCTTACAGTTGGTCAGATTGTTCATGTGTATGGCATTTGGTGATCCAAACAGTTTCACAGAACATGATTTAAGGTTGGTCAGCCCAATATCTTTGGCTTGAATTTCTTCAGATTGTAGCGCCAGGTCAGAATCTGATAGGTCAACAAAGCCACACTGAAACCTCAACAGGTCAGTGGTTATGTTTGTGGGTCCATCCACCTCTTCCACGGCAGCCCCAGGCTTCTCAACTTCTTTGGGTTTGTCTGATTTCTTCTGTCTGCCTTTGAAAGTAAACTTCTTTTTGGGGATGAGCTCATCACGCCTCTCTACCATGTCTGCGTGTAGCTGATAAACATCATCCTGGAATTTCCGTATCTCATACGAGGTCAAGGACAGCATGGAATCGGTAACAAACTGGAGCAATTTTTGGATAGCAACGATGAGCCCGTCGAAGAAATCAGGGAGGGCCGACTTTTCCACAGTATCGGCGGTAGCAAGGCGATTTTCTATGGCTGTCATCTCCTTCGCAAAGGTATTCCTGAAATAATCAGCATTCTCTTGCTTCCCAGTGGCTGATTCTCGCTTGAGTTTCCTTTCCTCGAGCTTGGCCATTCTCTCCTCTTGCCTACGCTGTAATTTATCAGTGACCCTCTCCTTCATTTCGTCGCGTTCAATGGAAAAAACTGAGTCAGAACTTGGTCGATTCACGGGAGTCGCCATGTTGGCAGGATCAGTTGCATGACGGGAACGCGTGTTACTCGACTAGACTTGTTACAAGTCCGTTCACTACTTTTGTTCCAACCAATTTATATCGTTCGTGTTGTTGTACTGCAACAAAGTAATAAAACATTTTCCAAAGAGAGAATAATAATTTGTAAAGGATAGTAATAATTATTCAGTCATTTTTTTACCAGGTGGTGGATCCAGACTTCTAACCCCCACCCCAAAACAAAACTGCAGAATATAAGAATATTTTTGTTTTGTTAATATGCCCCATTTGTTTTAGGTTCATGTTTTTCACAGTTGTGAAATGTTATTATTCAGTCTTTTTTAGTCAAGAAAGCTTAGAGATCTGATGTTACCTTAACGGAGACTGGGTAGTAACTGCTCCGATTTAATCCCACGGAAACTTTTTGAAAAGTGATAATGTGGAGTAAGATCACTGTGAGTTCTGAACTTGCGAACCAGATAAAAGTGACTTGAGCAAAGATGTGTTCTTAATGTGTCGCATTTTTATCACTCATTCCATTTCGCTTTTTTGGAGCATAAATTACGAGAAGCTTTTGTCACACATCATTCAATACTTTTTAGTCATGAATCTGTTTCTATGTCCCGGTTCATCTTCTTTTTTTTTAAATCGTGAATTGTACCTCTGCGCATGCTCCATTTAAGCTCCAATCAGACTCTTCTGCGAGTGTAACACATCTCAAATTTTATTAAAGAATATTTTTGAGCATCAAATGAATGAAAACAGTTGTTATTTGGCAGAATTGTCACAGTTGTTACCGTTAATTAATACAACTAGGCCCCACACTCACTCAAACATGTTTTGAACAACAAGGACCAAAAAATGATGTGACCAGCTCTGAGTCACAAGTCTTGGGAGCTTCTTTTGAGTTAACTTTGCATTAGATTGAGGAATTTGAGCTCTTTCTGTTGATGTGTCACTCAATTTGGTACAATGAAAATGGATGTTGTGTAGAAGTTCAAATGTTGAAGATTCCTTTTGCTTAAACACTGTGCAAGATTCTTTCAAAGGCCTTTAACTCAAAAGTGGCTCTCGAGACATGCGACTAATACGGGCGATTCACATTAGTGCGCCACCAAGAGTTTGCGACGCGTTGGCCAATCACAACGCGCGAAATTTGTCGACCCTTTCCAAACGCGCATTGGGTCGACAAATTTCGCGCATTGTGATTGGCCAACGCGTTGCAAACTCTTGGTGGCGCACTATTGAGAAACGGCCGTATTATCACAGAGCGGGCCACAAATAGACCTCTGACAGCAACGTTTCTATTTACAGTAAAATTTCTTGCACTTGAAACAGGGATGGAAGCTGTGTTTGTAATTTGGACCACGCTGTTGCTTCATTGTTGGTTTATGCACGCCGTGGCATCAACTACTTTTCCCACGGGAAGTTCATTTTTATGTATCTTTTTCTCTGAATCCATCATATTTGATGTAATCTGACAAATGGCGTGTTGCCAGACTATTTTGAGATCCAAACATACTGAACTTCCATTTTTTAAAGTGAAACTTAACACATGTAGTTATGACGAATTTTTAATTTTTAGTAGAGACTGAGTAGCCTGCATTCATGCGTCGGCTATCTTGTATTGAAAATGAGGTAAAACCTTTCATTTAGGGAACCTGAGGGTAAAAACGACAGCAACGAAATAAAAGTTCATAAAAATTCATGTCAGATGATTTAAGGGTCATCCCATATGGTTGGGACACAATTTGTGACGGTGTCCTTGTTACTTGGGTAGCTTTTACCACCTGTCATGACATGTAGAGTAGGTCATTTACTCTGTAAAAATAACACACACCTCTATATTCAGCCTTGCCAGGTGTATAATTTGGAATCCACATGCAGGGAAATAGCTGTTCATTTTTACGGAACCCACGTAACAATGAACACCGTCACAAATTGTGCCCCAACCTCATGGAATGACCCTTAAATATATGATAAATTATGTGTACATGATTTTAGTTGCATTTAAATAAATCTGAAAGTGAGGTTTGGAACCCAAAATAGTTTGGGACCACCACACCTGAGATTAAATTGAATTTGATGGATTCAGGGAACAAGATAAAAATTGACTTCCCCGTGAATTAATGACTATTCATACTTCGTGCGAAAGCGACCGTGAGCGCAAATTTATGAGGGCACATGAAATATTCGCTTTGCGAATTCGCCCAAAAATGAACACATTTCAACTCGAGCGAAATTTCGCTGCAATTTTTTGAGACGTCAAATCGCTTCGGATTCGCGTTCGCCTGGAGTATGAACCGGCCTTAAGGGTTATTTTTTTTTTAGTTAGAACTGTGGTAGCATCAAGCTGCTAGAGGAGGTATGAGTGTAGACAAACTGTCGATCACAGCTTGTCCAGAAAGATGATGATTGTGGTCATTACACATAATTTCCCCTACCTCAGAGACCGGAATAAATTTTGCTCTGTGCAACTAAAGATTTCTCAACACAGTTTCTTGACAACTGGCAGGATTATGACAACCAAATCTACACAGCTACCTGGGCTGTTAACAGGGGCGTTGGGGTTGTGGGGTCATCAACCGAAAATTAATGAAAATGGTTAGGATAAACAAGCGAGAGCAAGGGTGTAGTTAGAAAAATAATGAAGAATTTACGTGTAATTAAAAAAGTCACATCCACTCACGCAAAAATGTGCACTGAAGATCAATGTCAGTGATCTGCATAACGTGTTTACTGATACGATGCATGACATCTTTTTGCTTTCTATTGCTGACCCCAATATGGTGTTTATCGGTTTTTAATTATATTTATAGTTGCAGAGAAGTTGGCCTGGACAACAACACGCTCCGGGAAGACAGAACAAATCACGAAGGAAACCCTGATGTACAGAACTGCAAATTCTTTAGTGTCACTGAACTGATCCCTTGTCCAAACGGGTTTGAGGATCTCCAACGGAAATTCACCATGAATGCCCTCAACAAATCTTTTACACTGCCAAACAGTAACTAAAGTAATGCTATGACAACATTTAGAAGAAAGTAATTTGTGGTACAAGACATTTCTCGCAGTTGTTCATTTGCCATTCATGTTGTATCGAAGCATGTAGGGTTTCTGCTTCACCGGGGCAAGTTCTGTGAACCAAAATCACTAGGCCTATTCCTGGCAAACCTATGTTTGAAACCAGCTAAGAATGAGGCACGACGCTACAGAAAGTTCAAGAAACGACTGGATTTAGAGAACTTGTCGAATTGCGTGATATCCAGAATATATTATTTTGTATGGCTACCAGGGAAAATCTATGAGTGGTCCAAATAGGTGGTTCTCGCTCGAACTTGCCCTAGATTAGCTGGTAGCCTGTTATGTTTCCAAGCAGATATTTCATGACTTAGCACAACTTAACTCCAAGAAATTAGGCTTAAAACGTATGCGTTTTGGAGTTCCTCGTATCTGCCTCCTTGCATAACCATTCTCGTGAGCTTTGTCTGCAACTTATGATACATAACAGAGAGGACAAAATCGATGTTTTCTATTCTCAGACGGCTGGTTTCTTTCAATCCACGGCTGCAAAGTGGTTGTTATTGTGGCAGTACTATTGTGGGAAAAACAGATCTATGGAGAGCATGCCTGGTATGCACGGGCATGAAGAAAGAGCTCTGTGAGAATCGATTCTAGGATGAAAAACATCTGCCACCGTGTTGTCCTGTTCGCTTCAAAGTAAGACTCGGTCGTGAATATCATCTATGATTTCCTGAGCCCTCTGGAGCATCTGGAGAGTTGGTCCCTTCCTCGAAATCAATAAAGTGACAGGCAGTAACAGGTCCTTTTCACCTTCTATTCATTTGGGCGATGAATATTTTGTGATTTTTGTTAAGCCACTGGGGATGATGCTCACGATAGAGAAAATGACAGAGCGATTAAATAATGTGATTTCACGGACGTCACGAGGGACAGGAGGCCCCTGCCTCCACACACCCCCCGAAAAAAAATGAACGAATGTTTTTAAGGACGAGGGAAAAATATAAAGTAGTAAGAAAAGGGGAAATGGTAAGAATGTTTGTAGGCTTTATGATGAGGTTTGCTTAAAAAAGCCATTTCCCTCCTAATCACACTCTTGTGCGCTTTTGGAGATTTTTACCTGCAAAATTTTTTTTTTAAATTTTAGATAAGGGGTTTTTCCGTCAATTTAACGCTATATATCCGTCACTTATACTCACATGACAGGTACTTCATTTTTGCAACAAAATTTCGTTGGTTTGAAAAGCCAGCTCGATTCGATTGCGACTTAGATCAACGTGTTTCATCTTTTACTTTGCTTCATTGCAATTACATCTCACGCAGCTTTACCGGCTGCATGAAGACGTAACAAGTTATGTTTATTTCTATTCACATATGTCAATTTTGTCCAGCGTTTAAAACTATTGATCACTCAAAGAAAAATAAGTTAAGCCTTCTCTGCACTCGCTGAAAATGCAGTTTCGAGTTTTGTTTGCATATTCGTTTTCTAACTTACCCCCTTCGAGTGGATTACTTTCTGTTAGATTATTCTTTGTGTGTAAAAGTCTTTTGGGTGGCAGGCCGTACACGCAGTACGTCCCCGTTTCATTTCGTGTAAATGTAACATTTAATCCGGGAAAAAAGTACATTACGTTTATAATCTTTATGTCATAATGAGAAATAGATCTGTTTCAAATGGACCTATAGAGATATTTCCTTCAAGGGATTAAATGTTAAATTTGCACGCCTCTGGTTTCTATGGAACATGGATCCATCTGTGTATGCATGTGTGTTGGGAAGTTGGATTGATGATGTTATGCGAAACAACGCTTTCGAGGTTATGCTTTTGATGTCGAGTTTGCTTCATTTTTTACGACAATCAAGCCAAGCACATTGGATGCAATTCTGGCATGTTCATCCTTGGAGAGAGAGATTGCCCCTTACGACGGGGCTAAACAATATTATTGATGTCTTTAGTTCGCGTGAAGCAACTCCATGCCAACAGGACTAAACAAGAGAACGACATTGTTAAGACTTCTAGAACAGTATTGTTAGGACTTCTTAGGCTATAGCTCTTTACCAATAAGACTCTTTAGCAAAGACTGGACTGTGGATGCAAGGATGTCTTTGTTGGTAGGGGATTAATAGGAGATCGTCGATTGAATAATTTATCCACTGGCACTGAGGAAGGCTGTATCGATTTTGTTGACGGGCATAAATTTTTACCCGGATGAAACTTGCCCAAAGCATTGTACGTCACGGTGGCTGAGCGATCAACTCTGTTTGGTTAGCGTCCACCTGGCACGGCCCAATGTACATATATTTGGCTGGGAGGGCACACCTGGGATAACTTGCTGAAGTATTGGGAACACGATCGGTAGCATGGGTTCCAAGGAGAATTTCCTCCTGGTCCTTTTCTTGCTTGTGCTTTTGCGCTCTTCCAGCGGACAAGAAAGATCAGAAGATGAAAGACTGGACGATGAAAGGCCAGCCGAGCAGGGCCCACGCCCAGCATTGGGAGATACCGGGTTTGACATTGACCATTTCGCTGTGGACATCGAAGATCCATTCGGCAGGGGCGAGTGGCGAGATGAACACGACGAACAATTTCGCGAGGATGACGAGGGGCACGAAGGAGGAGATCATGTTGGTGAGGATCACGGTGGCGAGGACCACGGTGAGGAGGATCACGGTAGTGAGGACCACGGTGATGAGGATCACGGTGGTGAGGATCACGGTGGCGATGATGGTGATGAAGATGGTGATGGAAGCGATGATGATGACGGTGATGAATTCTTTGACGAATTCTTCCCTGCTCCCGGTGTCATCATCAACGACTTCACCTTCGACGACGCTGTCAATATCTTTGGAGACGCCGCCCGCGCCGACACGATTCTCCAATCCGTCGGCGTCGTCTGCGAGAACAGGAACGCAATCGGCATCGACCTCCCGCCCGAGGTGGACGACGTATGCGGCCTGGTCGAGACTGCGCTGGACAATAATCAACCCATAACCGGTGTTGAAGAGTTCTGCGACGATCTGTTCAACGAGCTCTCGGAAGGAGGGGACGACGGTGGCGACTCACGTAAAAAGAGGAACGTTGAGGAGGGCGAAGAGGAAGGAGAAGAAAGGGAGAGGGGGAGGGAATATCAAGAAGACGGATTTCCATTCTTTGGTGAGGCGCTGTCCATGAGGTTTCATAGTGAGTTTGGGTACGATTTTCTTGACAAGGACGAATACTGCAACGCCCTGGAAGATTTCATCGCCCGAGATGACCGTCCAGTGAAAGAGATTATGGACAATATAGTGCGTACAGTAATTAGTGTCGCCTTAGACCTATGGTCTCCTCAGTGCTTCTTTTATAATGGTTCCGGAGAGGATTGGGGTTCCTACAGCGGCTCCAGTGGAAGCATGAGGTTTGGTTCTAGCAGTGGCTCCAGTGGAAGCACGAGTTTGGGTTCTAGCAGTGGCTCCAGTGGAAGCATGAGTTCGGATTCCAAAAGCGGCTCCAGTGGAAGCATGAGTGTGGGTTCCAGCAGCGGCTCCAGTGGAAGCATGAGTTTGGGTTCCAAAAGCGGCTCCAGTGGAAGCATGAGTTCGGATTCCAAAAGCGGCTCCAGTGG